CAACTTGCCTGAAGGGCTGTATTACTCAATAGAATTCCAGTAGTAAGTAGTAGTGTTGTTATGTTGTGACATTAAATGAAAAAAAACAACCTCTGTGAGGATTTTAATGACAGGTAAATACAGATGCATGGATTCCATCTGTAGTGCTGCCACATGTTGCGCCATTCTCACAGGGGAGAGTGCTGTGGCCTAACCCAGTGCAGATGCACTGTCAGGGGGAATAAAGATGAATGAAACCTGAGTCTGTGCAGCCACACTCTACTGCAGAATGCAGCTCAGCCTGCGTCCAGCTCCAAGATTAATTAAACCAAAATGATCGTCTGGGACGATTGGCCTGGGTCAGGTTCCACAGATGAAAAGGGAGTGAGAGAGATGAACACTTTGTCTGAAACTGGAGCCAGGCTGCATGCATTGTAGCTGCTATGTGTCCTCACCATTCCCATGTTGTCATACCCAGGCCACCTACATAGTAGTAAGGAGCTTCTGTTTGTGTGTACTCACCCAGTGACCCCCCCCCTACCCACCCTCCAAGCACACAGCCTGAGAATATGTCCAGGTCAAGGATGCTCTTTATATAGTGTCCACCTGCTCATTCTGACCATAGCAAAGCTGTTTGGGATCTCACATTTTCCAAATCAGTTTGTATTCACTGCAGTGCTACAGTATGAGGGCTGTAATAACACAGTGGTTTTCAGGATAAAACCTCCTTCATACTTACTCTATGCCACAAAAATGAATCGACCACGTTTTGACCTTACCTAGACTTTATTAATGTGACCCTTTTTGGCTTTTAGTTTCAACTTTGACATTATTGTTATCTGGTAGAAATCTCATCAAATGTAATCTTTGTGTATTGTGTTAAGACTACATTCATCGCACAAATATTTTTTTATCACATCCAGAAAAACAACCAGTAATGCCAGCAAAGGTCTGAGCACTACCTGAACAGCACACAGACCCAAAAAAGCCTGTCTGGTATCCTTTAATTTCTGTATGTAGCACTTTTTATTGAAAGTAATGTACTTGCAAGATTCTTACTATTTAGAATTTGAATCCTCATGGTTGATGGCACTCAATGTAAATCGCTTTGGATTTCCAAGTCAGCCAAATCTAATGATTGTGATCATCAAACATCATCAGCAGTCTGAATGTACTCCCTGTGTTGATGTTGGGATGATGTAATTACTGGTGTTTTATTAAATATTTGTAATCATCTTTGTCTTTTTAACAATCTCTAATTATTCGTTTCATACATCTATTCCATAATTGATTTTATTTTCTTGTCTCAGTGTTGAACACAACAGAGGGATATCTTAAAGAAACAAGTGTCACACAGGTGGGACCCTGGTCTTTGGCAATAATTAAGCTGGCCCCTTTCACCCAGGCCTGTTGTGTTGAGAATAACCACATTAAAGGTGGGGTAGGTAAGTTTGAGAAACCGGCTCGAGATACACTTTTTGTTATATTCCATGGAATGCTCTTAAAATCCCGATAGCAATGAACATCTTAAGTGCTTTGACAAAAAATCCATAAAAACATGTCATCTGTGGAAGCCGTAATACTGTAAAAAGCCGGCCCGGCTAAAATAACTGGATGGCCTACCTGCCTGTCAGCCTTCCATCTGTGCACAAACTTATCTCGTGCCCTCATTGGTCATGTGCGCGTTCGTGTGTGTTGGAGGAGGGGCTCTGTAAGGAAGTGGCAGATTTTCTCCGGTTGTGTATTTTCAAATTCTAGCGATCTCGAGCCGGTTTCTCAAACTTACCTACCCCACCTTTAAGTCCTTGAAATAGTAAATAATGCTTTTTCCTTCCTGTCATTGTAAGTTTATTTACTTTTTTGCACTGCAGGCAGAAAAATGCTGCAGAGCAACTGTTTGAAAGCTCATATCGCCTGTAGCAAGAGCAGTTCAATCATTTAAGCTGCATGTTGGATCAAGTTTATATGATTGTTGTGCCAAGGTTTTCTTAAATTACCATGCAAAACACACAACTAACAATGATAGGTGTCAAGTGCAAGTACATTTTTCTCCAATTTTTTAATTATGAACAAACTACCCTGTGTTCCCATACTTTTATATCTGGAAATCACTGTACTGTATTTATAAGATTATTTCAGCAATCTTTCACAAGACAGAGTTAGTTTAAGGTCATGTTGGATTATATTTTGCATGTGTGGGGAAAACAAAATGTTTATCTTGAAGTACTTCACACAGTTTACAGTTCATCCCCCAATGCTCAACTGCTGTTTAACCCAAATTGCTACTGTAGGCATGTCAACAGTATTGATGTTTATGTATGTTTCTTTGGATAAAAGAGTTAGCTAAACAAAATGTAATGTAATGTCTACAGCAAAGGTGGACCTTTATTTTCCACAAAAGTAATACTCAGGCAAATTTCTTCCTTTTCTCTATTCCTTTTTTAATTTGCTGCTACTGTTAGCGTTATTACCACAGCTGGGCGTTTCCCTAGAATGCTAACCTATAAACATATGCTAATTAGTGATAAAATACAAACATGCTAGGATTTTACTTCCTTTTATGAAAATTGCACCTAACACAAATGCCTTTTGTTTTAAAGTATTATCACTCCTATGTCATCGTCATGTCTATTTCTTTTTGACTTTGCTGCTACTGTTAGCGTCGTTAGCACAGCTGGGTGTCTTGCTTGAATGCTTACCCAAGGATGTTTCATTAGCTTTTCAATAACATCGATAAATGCTAATGATAAAATGTAACAAAAAAAGATATACTAGAATTTCACTCACTGAAATAATTGGAGCATAGACTTCTTGGAAGTTTTGTGTTAAAGGTGGGGTAGGTCATTTTGGAGAAACCAGCTTGAGTGTGCTAGAATTTGAAAATACACAGCGGGAAAAAATCTGCCACTTCCTTACAGACATGACCAATGAGGGCACGAGATAAGTTTGTGCACAGATGGAAGGCTGACAGGCAGGTAGGCCATCCAGTTATTTTAGCCGGGCCGGCTAAAATGATTGGTCGTGCTTTTTACAGTACTACGGCTTCCACAGATGACATTTTTTAATGGATTTTTTGTCAAAGCACTTAAGATATTCATTGCTATCGGGATGTTAAGAGCATTCCATGGAATATAACAAAAAGTGTATCTCGAGCTGGTTTCTCAAACTTACCTACCCCACCTTTAAATGTACAGCAAACCATATCATTAGAATGATATTTATAATGAAACTAAACTTGTATCTGAAACTAGCCTCATGTATTGTTTCACATTGAAGAATCTACAGCCATGCTCTTTGAGGCAGTACTGCCCAGCGATGCTAAATGCTAATGTCAGCATGCTCACAATGACAATGCTAACATTCTTCACTTGGCTAATGGTGCTTGAATGCTAAAACAACCTAAATAGCAATTCATCTTTCCATGAGTCCTTCATGGGTTATGCCAGATAATCCACAGCTTGTTGTGAAAAGCTTCATGTAGGAAACTTTTTTGTCTATATGCCATATAGTTCAGTTATACTGGAGAGCAAGCAGACATCTCTACAGATGATACTGTATATCCATCCCTCTACAACTCATACCAAAACAATCAAGAATCATGAAAAGCACTTCAAGTCCCTGTCCTGTAAACCGAGGTATCAGAAATATACACGTTGACCTTGATGAAAGAGGAAAAATGAAACAATATGTACCTACCTTTTCTAGTCTCACTCACCAAATGTTGTGTTTTGTCAAATGTCATGCTGTTCGATCCTCAGGTCATACTTAAGGGATTTGTTTTGAAAGTAAGAAATACCTTAAAGACTGTAGTTGTAGTTGGCCATCTTCAAAAAAGGACTCTTTAAATCCTGTCTAGTTCTTTTTCTTTTTACTAAGAATAATAGATGTTTCATTGATAAAATGCTTTTTCAGTCCTTAGTATTGCTCTCACATCAACCAGGCCCTGCGATGACTAAGACTAACATGACAAGTGGTTAAACGTAGCTTGTTTGTCTTCGCTTAGCGGTCATTAAAGTGTAACACAGATTTTAACAGCAATGCCTTTCCTTGAATGAGTAACAGTGAGTCACTCACGCCTCATGTTTACCTCCATTCACTCATAAACATGTGACTACTGCTTATAAAACAGCAGCTGCATACTGTGAGAGGAGCTAAGACGGGCAGGGAGTGACAGTGGAGAACAACATCACATCTTTTTGAATATTTAATAGAATCAAATGTCTTGACCTATTCAGGGATCCCAGGGTGCAGTTCTGTACTGTGTTCGCTCAGGTCCACCCGTTGCCTTTTCAATTCAAGATAGCAGCACAAACAGAACTAAGAATAAACTGTACCATCAATTAACAATACATGCGCATGGTTTCATAGTCCATTGTTTATTTATGGCACAAAATAATTGTGACCTCACTTCACATTATCTGCTGTAATACTATATCTCCTAAGGTAAATCATTACGACTGTTATACAGAACAATACATGTATAGGTAAGGTACTAGGATATTCCTACAGTACATAAGATTATAGTGACTATAATATATATAAGTTGTTCTATGTTGTATAGATCGATATTGATCTATCAATTTTATTTTTTTGATAATGCTTTGATAATGTAAATGTTTTTAGTGGTGGAAGAACCCAGATCCTTCATATTAGTAAAAGTAGCTTCAATATTGCAAAAATGTCCCCATTAGTGGTAGGCTAATGTTTTATTCAAATTAATGTATGCATAATGTGTGTCATAAGAAATCAGATGAATTCCCTCCGGGTGTTCCTGATTATCAAGGACTGTACACATGTCAAGTCACAGTGACCTTTAACCCCAAAAATCGAATAAATTCAATCTAGAGTTGTGGGGAAATGTAGGCCTAATCTAGAGTGATTCCCTTCAAGTGTCCTGAGATTTTGAGTTCATGAGCACAGGAAAAACTTACAAACAAGAACAGAAGTTTGGAAAGAAAATACGTAAGGACAACCCTCAACTATAATGTCAAAGCACAAAAAAAAAAACAGACATGGCAAAATACAGCATACTTATATCTTTATTCTTTAACGTGATTTTGTGATTTTTATGCACAGCTTTCAAGAAATATATGAATACTTTGGCTTGAGCCTCTGACCAGCATAACGTCCATATAACAGCCTTAGGTGAGTATGCAGGCCAGAGTGAATAAAGCAACACCAACATACAGACAGCACAATACAGTAGATCTCAGTGAATACATTGAGAGAGATTGATCATTGATATAGTTGATGACAGTGACACTGATGGTGACTGATGCTGGGCCTGAGAGTGAAGTGAGTGAGGGCAATAAACAACATCTTAATAGAAGGAGAAAGGGTCATCGATTTCACATCCAGCATCACCATGACCCCCCCCTGTCTATCAATGTTAATCAGTGTTTAATCAACCTTTTTTCACATAACAGCAGCAAATGATTCCACTCAAAAGTTGGACACTTAACAAATTGAGGATACCCTGTGGATTCTTTAAAACAAACAAAATGTAAGTTTAAATGTATTTTTCCTCATAAAAAACACAATGTTTACCCTCGAGTACTAACAAGCATGTTAAACACATTTCCTTCCCCATTAAACGTTTGATTTTGATCATAACCTGTTTCGTCATTTCAGTTGTAAAAATATGTAGGAAAAAAACAGAGCCTGTACTGTTTAATTTAAAAGTTACAACCTGGAATATTTCCATTGAAATCGATATCATTATCTTTAGCCAAATGAGTTAAACGGTGATGGGGCCTATAGCTCGCTATAGAATGGCCTTTCATTTGCACTAGGTGTCTGTAAAAACATTCATATGAAAAATCAATAGTCATACAGACAGTTTGGATCACACATCTACAATTATGGCTTATCACCAAATAGAACACATTGGAGATCTTCGAGAACTTTTTGTACTAACTTGTCTGGCTTTCACGACTGCTGCATTTCACGAGTCATCAACCTCTTCCAAAAAGCAGTCAACTAGTCCATAAAAAGACACATTTCTTTCACCCAATAACAATAATCAATTCTTATCAAAAAGGTCTAAAATGGAACAAGTAAAGGGCTGCAGTATTGTAGGCTCTTGTTCTCCTGCTGACACATATTCTATATTGTTTCAAGTTGTTTCACCAACTTGTTTATGGTTTACATAAGATGTAAAGGTTGATTCATGAATGTTAGGTTAGAGGAAGTATTTTCCACTCAAAATAAGATATTAAAAATACATTTGGTTTTCACTGCTCAGTTTTGTTAGACCAATGCAGGACAATATGTTTTAGAGGAACATAAAAAACACTGAACATGTCATATAATCAAATGGAGATTATTATTATTTTGACGTTTAGGAAATGTTTGGTGCATCTGAAGTTGTCCGATTTTCCTAAATATAGTATTTAAGTGAATGTTGCTGCAGAAGGCACTCTTTGCAGCTAAATTGTGATTATGGATAGAAAGAAAAAGATATGTTTTGAATGTCCTTCTCCAAAAACTGGATTGGATACAGTTTGAAGGCCGAGAGGACTGCAGAGAGCCAAAAGATAAACGGGTTCCCAAAACATTTAGCACCAATTTGCTATGATCTGCTTCAATAGTGATCTAGGGACACTTTTCTGGAATGAAGAAACTAACTCCAAGTTATACAATATTCCACCCTATTATGCAACACTATGGGGACATGGAATAGTGAATCATTTTTTTTCATTTTTCAAAACAGCTTCAATACATTTGGTGTCTGAATAGGCGCTTTCACACCGCAGTACTTTTCCCACAAAGGTTCATCAGAACTTAGTTCATGAGAACTCTGTACAGATCGCGTTCACACCGGAATAAATCCCTGGGGGAGGATAAGGCAAATTAAACCGCTGACGTCACTTCTTCTTCTGCTTTGGGTTTACTGGCAGGCCGCAAACAACTTCACGGCGTATACTGCCACCCGAAGTAGACCCAGCAGCTTCTACTGAAGCCTTCCGAGTAAATCACCAGAACGCCGACACCTCATCTCCACCGCTCCCATGTTTTCTTTTGTGTTGCCATAAGTTAGTCTCTCTGCGTTTGTGCGCTGGGCTAATGCTAATGCTAATAATGCTAATGCGAGGATAATAAAATGGCGGCTTCACAAAACTTTTTTGGAGTTTTACGGGGCGTGGTTTGCATTCCGCCCAGCCAATCAGAAATAGGAAACTTTTTATCCCACGAAAGTCCCTGCTCTCTAGCAGGGACGGAAAAGGGGGTAAAAACGTTCTCATGAACTCATTTTAGTTCCGGATTTTTTTGGTGTGAACGCAACATTTCGGAACTATATCGGAACTAAAGTGGGAAAAGTACTGCGGTGTGAAAGCGCCTATAGATTATGTTTATATCTCTGTTAGAGTAGCCATTATTTATATAAGGAACGAAAACACAATATAACAGCTGATTACACACTTTGATAGTGTTTAAAAGGTTAAATCAGTAACACATGATAAGCATCATATTATAAATATTAGCGTAGTTCGATTGCCCTTTGTTTACATTCACAAGTGAATTTCCCTCTTCAGAAATGGAAGCTTAATGTCAGGCTGAGTCTGTAGGGATTGTAGTATGTTGCTAAAGAACAAACATCACGTAACTCTTCAGCGCCTGTGGAGGGAATGTGATGTTCGTGAAAAAAGGCAGCTTATTAGCCTCATGCTAAATCTGAGCGACTCAATTAAATGATTGCCACGTCGCTCTGACACATGGTCCAGGACGGTTGAGTCGACGGAAACTGGAAGATAAATATGCGACTATATGTTTAATGCAACTTACATTCAGATCTGTGAGCAGAAGGACACTTGTAGAGTTATACTTGGCACATGCTCAATGTTTTGAACCCAAAATCTCTTCATCCTATCCTCAGCCTGCAGCAGATCTAGGTGCTGATCCCCAAACGGAAGATATACCTGAGCCGGGGCACCACATTCCAGTAAATATGCACTAACCTGCGGCTAAGAGGAGCTTGAAACAGAGGCATATTGCTTGAAATATTTCAATACAGCAGCAGGACAGTGTGTTATGGTCTCTCTGCACTGACCACAGTGTGACAGCTGCTGCTCTCTGCTGAGAGCCTTCTCTCTTCAGGTTACAGAGCAGGTAGAGGTGCGCTGCATTCACAAGTCTTGCCGTGGAGAGCATCAGCATCCTGCTCCACAGATCCCGTTGGTCCTGTCCTGGATGACTCCAGCCTTCACCAGCTTCAGCAGGAACTCCTTCTCTTTCGATATGTTGTGAGTCCAGGACTACAGAGAAGACAGAGACACAGGACAGGAGCTAGTTGGTGGACAACACTCAACAGGCTACCTTCTAAATGTCTCACTCTTTAAACCAACATTTTACCTAGTTCGGAAGAAATGATGTGATCACATTGTTATAATAAGCCAATCAAACTTACATTTTAGGAAACTTTCCACCAACAGTGACTGTTGGCCATCTTTATAATCCCTGAACGTCAAGAAGCACTCTTGTTTCTCCTAATGGAAATGTTTTGGCTCGTTTGCAATTGTCGGCCACCGTATATAACCGTTATTTAGAAAGGGAAAATAAGTAAAGCTATTTCTTGCCGCTTAGGCTGCTGCTTACTTTTGCTCAGCTTGTTTCTCTGATAACTTAAAGGGGACCTATCATGCAAAATGCACTTTTGTACGTCTTTTATACATGAATATGTGTCCCCAGTGTTCCAGGGAACTCACCAAGTGTCAGAAAACACAACCCTCTCTATTTTCCTCCATACCCAAATCTCTAAAAAAGGGGCTGGAACGGATCTGATAAAAACTGATCCAGATTTGAACACTGTCCTGACGTCAGGACAGTGGCGCTACGGCTATTGGGCCAACTCCACCAATCAGGAGGAGACAGCCACGGCCATTGCCGTTCGAAAGCGCTGGAGACGCTGTAGTACATATGCCAGGCCTGTAGATGGTGCTGTTCTTACAGAATCAGCCCTTGCAAAAACAGGGCTGGAAAAGAGCAAATAGAGCGAAATGAGGCATGGCTAAAATGCATGATCTGTTTGGTATTTTGAAAAAAAAAAAGTATAAATATGCCTTATATAGGTATGGTCCTACACTATATTATTCAAATATAGCATGATAGGTCCACTTTAAAGTGGACCTATCATGCTATATTTGAATAATATATTGTAGGGCCATAGAGTGGCGAAGTCACGCCCATCTACTTCCGGTCCATGGGACCTTATTTCGGAAAAATAATGCATTGAAGTCAATGGAGAGAGAAAACGTATCTTTCGATCCCGTTTGAATTGTGCCATGAATTACACATATGATGTTTGTCAATCTTAAAAAATAATTTCCATGTCAAAAAAGTCACAGTTTGTCGTAAAACTGTTGAAATATAAGACTATGAAAAATACGCAACTAGAAAGACTACAAATCCCAGAGTCGCGTAAGTGATGTCACAATTGTTTTCCTCCACTAAGAGATAGCTAAGATCAGCGCAATATAGATAGAATCTATCTATATGGCGCTGGCTAAGATAAGATAACTTTAACAAGATGCCTGTGTGCTTAGTACCAGGTTGTTATTATACCAGCAATGGGTCTAGCTCGTTCTTTCGCTTCCCGTCTGATGAAAGGACCAGAAGTGGCTTGATCAAGCTAGCTAGTAGCTAGCACGTTAGTTAGCATTACAGCCTTGTTATTTTTATTAGCCTTAACATGAAGTAACATTAAGTAACCCAAAATGTTAAACAGTAAGAGTAGTAGTCATATTTCGTGAACCCTTTGAAGAGTACTGTCACCGGTGTGATCATTCTATAATACACAATTTAATCCCGGGGGAGAAATGCTAACGCTAACGCTAGCGATCTTCTCTACTTCATGCTATCTGCACAAATGGTTGACATTAAACTTTAAAACGACCAGGCAGTTCAGAGAGAATCAAAGGAAGGCAGGCAGGCAGCTTTGCATGACATTCTTCAGGACGTGTTTCATTGTGGTGATAGTGAGGGTAGTCAATCGTTTTGTTGACAAGACAGTAGTGACGGCCATCTTGGTGACGTGTGTTGTTGACCAGAGATGTAGTTCATTGAGCGTTTCACACAAACAAATGTGTTACTTCACAGTTTTACGACACATTTTTTTTTTTTGACTTGCAAAATTATCTTTTAAATTGACAAACATTATATGTGTAATTCGTGGCACAATTCAAACGGGATCGAAAGATAATCTTTCTCTCTCCATTGACTTCAATATATAATTTTTCCGAATTAAGGTCCCATGGAGGTCCACCGGAAGGGGAGGGACTTCGCCACTCTATATCTATATAAAACATGTCTGTGAATTTTTTTTTTCAAAATACCAAACAGATCATGCATTTTAGCCATGCCTCATTTCGCTCTATTTGCTCTTTTCCAGCCCTGTTTTTGCAAGGGCTGATTCGGTGAGAAGTCTTCTTCGCTGCTTTTGTGGCAGACTACAGCGCCACTTACAGGCCTGGCATATGTACTACAGCGTCTCCAGCGCTTTCGAGCGGCAATGGCCGTGGCCCAACCCCCCATTCCCCTGATAGGTGGAGAGTTGCCCATATAGGCGGAGCACCCCTTTTCTGACGTCAGAACAATTCAAATCTGTATCAGTTTTTATCAGATCCGTTGCAGCCCCGTTTTTAGAGATTTGGGTATGGAGGAAAAGAGAGGGTTGTGTTTTCTGACACTTGGTGAGTTCCCTGACACACCGGGGACACATATTCATGTATAAAAGACGTACAAAAGTGCATTTTGCATGATAGGTCCCCTTTAAGATCCATGAATAAAATCCATCATCCATTTAAAATGTAGAGTTAAAAGATCTAAAAGTGTGTGGTTCAAATACTGACACATTCTCAAGGGCATATGTCATCATACGTCTGACAGACTTCTCTGGGTTTGAAAATTGTTGAAAAATTGTTGGAATAATGTAAAAACACAAAACTGTTTAGGATATTTAGAATCATCCTATACTCCTGCAGCGTACTGCCATGGGATGACAAAAAGCTATCTCCACCAGCTAACACTCGATCTTTGTGGATACGTTATCTGGATAATGACATCTGATCACAGGTCCTAAGGTATACACCGGGTCCTAATACTGTAAGAGAACACTTACAGTCTCCTTTCTCCTCGCATTGTGATCACATCTCGGTATGGTGAGGGTCTTGTGACAGACAGAGACAGCCGAAAGCATCTGCTTTAAGTGACCTAGGCTAATATTTCTTATACTGTAAAAAAGTAACAAGAAATTGTCTGTTTTGTCAGCAAAACATAAAAATAAAAAACATGCTTGTTTGGCAAAGCTTTAAACATTTATGTTCTATTTGAAATTGTGGTAACTGAAAATAATACAGTTTTTTTATTTTTATTTCAATTAAGGCTGTGAATGAATATGAAAAATGTTAACATATTTAAGAATACACACACACTAATCACATAACCAAGTTAGACACCAACTTCCTTCCCTAACTACAGTGCGGATGTTTACCATTAATTGTGAATAGGCAAAGAAAGCGGAGGAACTGGTAGAAGCTGCATGTAATGCACCGACTGGAGACCATCAGTAACAACCACCACTACCTCGATTTAAGGACACTATACAGAGGGCGATCATAGCAGGTCTCCGTGACAGTGTGTTTGTTAACGCTTTGGATTTGTGTCTGCAAATGTTAGTACTTCATTCCTATAATTCAGAAATAAATCATCTGATTTCTTACCAGTTTATGTATTTCTTTATTACTACACCACACGTGTATTTGTTCTATCTCCCGCCAATTATAAAAGTAAATACCAGTATTTTAAACCTGTGATTAATCAAGACGATTGCGATTACATTTGTATTATTGACTAAATGTATTGCAATATAAAAAGAAAAATCATTGACACTATATTATCCAGTTTAAAAGAGATAATGAAGACTATCCCTATTCCGATGGTTGGATTTTGCTACTTGCCAAGAAAAAACCCCACTAATGGTCCATGTTGGCTAATGAAGGAGAGTAGGAATGAGTTCCAGTCTCAATTATACATGGCAGCGGCCCAGCAGCTCTGCACCTCTTCGGACTGAAACACAAGTCTGTGTCAGGCGGTGAAAATAGGATGAAGGGATTGCATGTCTGTCTCAGTAACCTGGGCTGAGAGTGATTTATGAGCAGGCTGGACACTGTGAAGTGGACTGAATGGCGGTTTAGGCCCTGTTTGCATGTAGTGCGCCGTGACTACACCCAGCAACATTCCTATACTTGAGATTTCATACACATCGCAGGCCACTAAGCAGCATGCTGGGTAAATCCCTCCTGAGAGGCATATAAATGAGAGAAAGGTCACAGTAAACTGTTCCAGTGTAGCATAAACGTGGAAGACTAACAAATACGATGTCGGTCGATCGGTTGGTAACATTTGATGAGTGTTGTGAGTATTGTGTGGGAGTATGGTGGATTAAGAGTGGGATAATGAGCAGGAAATAGGGAACCTGAACTGTAAACTAGTTTGGGTTACTAATGTGTCAAACATTTTGCAAAAAAACAAACACGGTTTCTCTCCTAAATAACTTCAGTGAACCAGAAATATGAATTATCCTCGCTTCTCACAAATTAAAACACTATTTATTCAAAAGGGAATAAAATATATTTCAGACAACTTTCTGTGGAGACAGTGTCTTAGCCTGTGAGTGGGCGTCAGAGCAAAAGCATCCTCTTTAGTATAATCAAACTATTTTTTGCCCTTTTTCAAAAATACACAAACTGAAACATTGACTTTAATTACATTTTAACAATATTATGTTAGTTGAAAGCAATAACATTAAGTTGAACCTAATATTTTTTATTTATACTTGTATTATAGCTTTCAACTAACATAATACAGTAAAGTGAAGTCTGTTGACAAAATGCATTTAATTCAAGTCAATGTTTTTTTGTTTTTTCAGTGTAGCAACTAGTAATGATTTGCTCTTTCTTTACCTTTACATCAGTTAAAGGGGCCCCATTAACCCTATTTTCAGGATCATATATTTGTATTGTGTGTCTCTACTGTGACATGTCTCCATGCTTTAATGTTCAAAAAGCTCTTTATTTTTCTCCTACTGCCTGTGCTGCAGCTCCTCTTTTCACCCTCTGTCTGAAACCAGAGCCTGCTCTGATTGGTTAGCTGGCCAGCTCTGTTGTGATTGTTCAACTGCTTAGAGATGTCCTGCAACTTAGCATATCAAGTACAATGTGTTGGCAGAACGTATAAAAGTTAGCGCTGAGCTTCAGTCTGCAATGTTCAAAACAACAGATAAAGCCAGATATGTCATGGACTCTGACCTGAGTTTCAACAGTCACATTAAAACAGTTACTAAATCACCCTACTATCACCTTAAGAATATATCTAGGATTAAAGGACTAATGTCACAGCAGGATTTGGAAAAACTTGTCCATGATTTTATCTTCAGTAGACTGGACTACTGTAATGGTGTCTTCACAGGTCTCACTAACAAATCTATTAGAAAGCTGCAACTGATTCAGAAGGCCGCTGCTCGAGTCCTCACTAACACTAAGGCCCCGCTCACACGGGACCGTTTGCGTTTATGCACAGTATGCGTATTTAAAAAAGTCTTCCGTTCACATGCATTCGTTTCATTTAACGTGTCTGTTCAAACGAGGCCGCTGGAAACGCTGTAGTACATATGCCGGGACTGTAAGTGGCGCTGTAACTTCCGCCAAAATACACCAAAAGCAGCGAAGAAGAGCAGCCCCAGCAGCCCCCGCCGCAATGTTGCTATGGCTACCCTTCTGTTCATGCCCCGCCGTGTATTTAGCAACATGTAGTTCATGTAATTCTCCATGTCCACTTGTTGCTGATGGTTGTGGTAGAGGAGCTGTAGATTTTGCACTAATATCTGTAGCATGGTCAGTAGCAGTAGCACTAGCAGTAGCTACTGACAGGAGGAAGTGTGTGTGGTGATTGCTGGTATTCAGCGGGATATAGTAATTTCCTCAGCATATGGATAAATGCTACGGGGAAGTTAACTGAAAGAAACCGAATCTGTGGATATTGCATCGACCGACGTCTCCGTGGAGAGGACCCGCTCAGAAAAGAGAGATATTCTCTACAAACACCGGGTGAGATCCTCCTTTGTCAATATAATGGATCAATGCATGAAATCTGACTCTGTTTATTTTGTTTAAGGAGTATATTGGGCGTTAACTATTCTGGTTTGCCTTTTATAATATTATTTCATTCAAGAACCCCTTGTGCGTTTAATTAACACAGCTATTTTTGATAGTTGCTTCAGCAGTGAGCAGGAGAGGTGCTATTTTTTTTTTTTTTCGCTATTTTTTCAGGAAATATTCGTATAGAGGTGATTACACGGACTCGGTTGACCCCCCAGAGCGTTTCGTTTGCAAATCTATCCACCTTGGGACCCGTTATCGTTTGTGGGGTCAGTTTCTATCGGCCTCGTGTAAATAATAGGGCTATACGCACGCGAAACTATGCAGATACAAGCAGTTTTCTCCTCGTGTAAACGGCGCCTAAGAAAGTGGATCACATCACTCCTGTTCTGAAGTCTTTACACTGGCTTCCTGTGTGTCAAATAATTGATTTCAAAATAGTGCTGCTGGTTTATAAAGCTTTGAATGGTTTAGTGCCTAAATACATGTCTGACCTACTGCTAAATTATGAACCATCCAGATCTCTCAGGTCTTCTGGGACTGGTCAGCTTTCTGTCCCCAGAGTCAGAACTAAACATGGTGAAGCAGCATTCAGTTATTATGCTCCAAATATCTGGAACAAACTCCCAGAAACCTGCAGGTCCGCTGCAACTCTTACTACTTTTACATTTATAGAAAGGAGCATCTGTTAACATTTTCACCTTCTGTGTCCCTGTCGGAATTAAAGTTAGATAAACTATTTTAGCACCCATCCACAGATGGACCAATCAAATAACAGTATTGATGTTGTCAGTTGGTGCTAAAAATGTATGTCCACTGGAGATATACATAATGTAGGGGGGGCACCACTGCTGAATTATTTTTAATTGTTTTCATATTTTATGACCAAATAAGTACAAAAGAGAAAACACATAGCAAAAACAATAACAATATTTAAGAAATGTAAAGTGTATTTAACATGAAGAATGAATTAAAAAAAAGGTGGGATACATGTCTAGATAAAAGTAGCTTAATGAACTGTAGAAAAAGCTCTGCCCTGTCCAGGATCAGTTTTAGAACTTGTATACATGTAGTATCAAACCAAATCAGTTCTGAAGTTACCTCTTTGATAGCTGACATCCTGATCTTCTCATAGTAATGCAGAGGGGCGTGGGGGGTGCTCATGTTGTAGCCAAATCCAGCCACGGCTACCTCATCACAGTTGTGAAGGGCCATCGTTATGGCAACTGCCCCCAGGGTTGGTATATTCTGAAACAGACATAAATCAAGAGTGTGTACGAGAACCAGAATATGTTCAGCATGCAGTGAACATGTGAACGTACAGCAACTAGGCCTTATTTAAACTGTACGCTTGTTGTGTTGATATCTTACAGATGTGAAATCTGAAGAATGGGTCTATTTATAACAGCCTAATGGTAACACTTTCTTTTCAGGCTCTGTAGGTGCTCGGCTCCCTGCAGCATCTGCTGTGTGTTCACGGAGGCTTTCATAATGCAAACAGACAGTGGAGCTCCAGTGCTGACCATTAACAGCCCACTGTTGCCTCTCTACATACAAAAAAAGGGACTTCAAGGACAACAACAGGTCTCTCACCCCTCGGCCCATCTGTCCGCGGTTGTGAGGTAAGCCAATCAGCTTGAAGGAGGCCTCCTGGATGAAGTAGGGGTTCAGGATGCGCATGTCGCTGGGCTCCCTTGGAACGCTCTTGGCCACCGACTTCCAGAACCCATCAGTGCTGAGCTGAGAGACAAATTAAACAGCTATTTTGTTAGTGCGACCCTCATAGTGAACTAAATGTGCACACAGTCTGGTAGGCTGGGAGAAACAGATGTTAGTGTTTCGTTGGGTTGTGAACACACCGTACATTTCTCAGCACTGTCCACATTTAATTTAATATTGTAAGTTAGCAGCTGAGAAGGCAGGAGTATTATATTAATGTTTACACTATCCTCAAACGCAAGATGGCTTTGCATCATTTTCTTTGCTCACAGCTATCTTTGGGCGGCTGTGTCAAAGTGCACCTCATAAAAACAATCCAGCCTCTCGTAGCTTCTGTAGCTATGTATTATTGATTTACAAATTGCAGTTATGGACATAGTAATATTGTCCTCTGTGGTCCTTAAAATATTATGATATCATCCCTGAAGACTGGCTTCATATCTACATAATCTATACTTTGCCTCCATAAATGTTTAGTGATGTCAAATCAGGCCAGAGGCAACGGCCCCTTTGTTGTTAATTGCTTACTTACTTACTCCAGCCACAACCAATTTTTTAACACCACCTTCATTTTGATCTCAACTAGACACCTGTTGGGTTACGTGACTTCTACCTTTCATGTTTGTGACAAAATCTATCCTTAGACAGACAGAAATATAAACACTTGACAAATACTCAGAACCTGCTGGTACCTCCATGCTAGGTGTCTCCAGGATCACTTTTAGCCATGACGACACACACAGACTCACAAGGGGAAAACAACACTAGCATTGCTGTTGTGGCAAGTCTTCAAAGAAGACTTTGAATCCTTTTTTAACTCATTGTTTTGGTTTTATGGCAACATTTGGTATAGTGTTCAGGCTCTTATCAATCTGGTTTCCAGCCGCAGCTGTTTTAAGAGTAAACACTTTCAGACACAGCAGCACAGAAGACAGACACTGTAAGAGACTAGCTGGTGAAAAGTGTGTTGAGAGCATTTAGCAGCTAATACAAAGATTTTTCTCATGGGTTGGTGGAGACAATTCATTTTTTGAGTTTGAGTTTGACAAATGAAAGTTGATTGGAGGTGGACAAAGTGCACACACCAGCAACAAGTCATTAGCAATTTAGTGTCAAAATGTTAAGCTGTGTTACAAATATTCATCCCAGTGTCTGATCTATTGCTCGAGCTCATGTCATTTTTAAGGATTTTTAATTGTTTTACCACAACTTTGTTTTATATAAATTCTTTCTTTACTGCTGTTACAATTGACTAAATGTTAATATCTGAAACAAAAAACCTAATCATTAACAGATGTCATCTGTCACCGTAATGTTATAAAAGAATATTTACAATAAATATTCACACTGTCAGTGTCAATTCTTACTACCATCACCTAGTAGTGGACAGGGGTGGAAAATATGATGGTGCTTAAGCAGCCCAGTGAAAGCAATCTCCTGAGCTGAGACCTGGGGAGAGAGGTCAACACATTTAAACACTGATGAAAAACAAGAGGAGCAAACAAAGCCAGGCAGAGAAGGAAGCCCCCGTATCCATATACCTGGGGCCATTACCCTAATTACCAGCAGCCTTATGTCTCTTTATGGACAGTTACTGGGAAACCTGCCTCTGAGTTAGCTCAGGTATGCAGGAGAGCGATGTAGGGAGAAACCAAACAGCATTGATCTGAGCTGTTGGTTTACTAGCATAGCAATGTTACCCTGTTAGACTATAAGCTCCTATTGAGAGATCAGGTGGTAATCCTGTCCTATCCGAGCGGGAACCTAACACCTCTGCTCTGCTGGCAGCACTAAGACGATGAAGTCTGTGGAAAACCCATCTGCACACAGCCTACAGGATCAAATGACAAGCCACTCTGACAGTATCAGTGAATATGTTTACATTTACTCCAGATAACTCAACTAGCTGGTATGTATACAGTACACATGCAACTCTATTCCTTGACAGCCCTTTTCCACTGCAGGGACTTTAACAAAGTGTAACCTGGGGCTTCACATCATTTTATAACGCAGTTTATAATCCTAGCAATTGTCCATTCCGTAAATAAAAAGAAAGATACACTCAGGAGCAGAATGTAATTAAAAAGAGATATTAGAAGGCGTTGTGGTTTACGGTTACTGTTTTCACAGAGACTTGGTATGACCTAACAACGTTAAGCCCCCGGAGTGTCTGTCAATCAGACAGGATCATCTGCAGGGACCCCCCGGGGAACGGTGCTGGGATCGCTTCTCTTCACCCACAACACTGCGACCTGCCACCTTCAGAAGTTCTCTGACGACTCTGCCATCGTCGGCCTAAAGGGGACGACAGGTAGTACAGAGAACTGACGCAGGACTTCACCCTCTAGTGCCAGAGGAATCACCTCCAGCTCAACGCAAGTAAGACCAAGGATGGACTGGTGGTGGAATTCAGACGGCGCCAACACACACCCCCACACAATGGAACATCCAGGGAGCGGACGTCGAGATTTTGATCTTACAAGTACCTTGGTGTTCATCTGAACAATAAACTGGACAGCTCAGATAACCGCACTGGTCTCTGTAAGAAGGGACAGAGCAGAGTGTAACTGCTGAGGAGACTGAGGTCTTTTGGAGTGCAGGGGGCCCACCTGCAGACCTCTGACTCTGTGGAGGCATATTCATCTTGTATGGTGTGATCTGCTGGGGCTGACCACACAGTTAGATAAAGTTAGTATTTACCTCAAAGCTCTGCCGTACCCCAGTACAGCATCACAGAGCTGCTTGCATAGCTGCAGAATCTTTATATGACATTACTGCAACATGCCCGGTTCAATTCCAGACTTGGGACCTTTTGCGCAGGTCAAAGGAGGTTTCTAAACAGGCCACAAAAATAAAAACCTGACAAAGACTACTTGTCATTTTTGAGGCAAGATAAGATATATTTAAATATAAAATGACATTCATTTGTTGATGCTTCCTTTGCAGAAAACCCTGTCCAAGGAACAAAGTCAGCCATGATAGATGTCACTTGTGTCACACAATGCCAGCTCTCAGTGTCTACTTTGCCACTTTCCTCATCCTAGTGCAATCCATCTTCCTCCAGCCAACACTTGCATAGTGAGTAAGTGTGTATGTGTGTGTGCATGTGACCACTAACAGTGTGTTTACTACACTCCCACATTCGCGAGCAGGGAACTTGATCTGCCGCTCTGAAGTGTTGTTGTAAATGAAGCCGGTCTCATGAGCATCAAAGTCCTTTAACACCATTACTGTTAATTCAACAAACTTGTGAGGCAATGTCAAAAGGTGCATGTGCCAACAAAGACACATTCTACCAAGTCTTCTAACCACTATAAGTGTCCATGTGCGATTCAACATGTTTTAACACTAAGTAGTTTGTATGACATGTTGTCCTATCTCGTCTAAAGGTGATCTATGTGTCTTGAATGTCCACACTGGAAGTGTGGGTGAATGCCTGCTGTGTCACAGCCTCCTCATGGCAGCCTCTCATTTACACTCTCGCCAACTATTCTGTTTCTATGTAGTTTTGACAATATAAATATTACGAATAAGTGGAAAAAGCAGTCCACATTTTATTTTAAAAATCAATATCTCTTATAAAGCATTTATTTTGTTGCACTCAATTGTATACAAAAAACATGAGAAAGTAGGTTGATGAACAATTAAAAAAAGACAACTTGCACTGCACAGGGGAATTGCACTGCCATTGCACACCAGGCTAAACACTGTGTAAATTGGGTTAGATGTCCTGTTTAGGGAATCCTCTACTGTGACATGTTTACATGCTTTATGATTTGCTCTTTCTTTACCTTTACTGTACATCAGTTAAAGGGGCCCCATTAACCCCATTTTCAGGATCATATATTTGTATTTTCTGCCTCTACTGTGACATGTCTTCATGCTTTAATGTTCAAAAAGCTCTTTATTGTTCTCTTACTGCCTGTGCTGCAGCACCTCTTTTCACCCTCTGTCTGAAACCAGAGCCCAGTCTGCTCCGATTGGTTAGCTGGCTGGCTCTGTTGTGAACTGCTTAGAGGTGTGTCGGAAATGTCACATACCATGTGTTGGTGCACTAGCCAATAGAAGCGTTACATAGTGAGTTCACTATGTTACACAAGTAAACAAAGCAGTCCAATTGAAACATTTCAGGCAGGGGGGCCTGCAATGACCACTTCGCAGACCATTTACATGCATAAAAACCTATATAACCCACTGAATGTATGTTAGTATTTACAAGCCGTTTCAATGCATGTGCAGAATAAAAAATAAATGGGCTAGACTAGAAGTCAAAAGCTCTCTGCAGGTCACAGTGATACCATGTGATAAAGAGTGCTGAGAGCTGATGGGGATGGCAGAAAACAACGCCAAGTCACTTCCACTCTAGATATGAGCCCGTTGACAACAAAGGTAGGAAGCAATACAGCTGGAACAGCACACACACTCGCTGTGCTTCCACCTGTCAGTGGAGGTGCAATGTGATCCAGGACAAAGACCACCCTGGTGATAGCCACATGAAGCCCTGTCTTCCTTCTCTGCCTCCAGAGCTGCAGCAGAATGACAGCTGCTTTCTGATGTGCATCAGAGCTGAAGTCTCAGACTCCGACTCACCGCCCGCGCTCGGGCTGCCAGTTGGATAGACATGCACACAAGATCAGTACTGAGAGTCTAAAAAGAGGAAACACATTTTGGCTCACTTCTTCAATGGTGCATCATTTAAAACTAAGAAATGGAACAAGATATCCAAGGTATACCTTTGCGTTTATATCAGCTGTACTCTGTCTATCTTTGTCAATGAAAACATTGTTTTTGAGGTTATAGAACCACATCTCTAAGCTTGAAAGTAGTCGGTGTGAATTTGTAGTTCAATATAACAAAAATAGTGTTGGAATGACTCTTCACTGAGAACTGACCAGACATTACTTGCCTGTAAATATTGATATTTTGATCTATTTAGGGGTTTACGGGCATTTGACCCCATTTGCTTTCCTGCCACGGAGGAATGTGGAGGGAGTACAAAGCAGGTATGTTGTGTTCGGGGTGCAGGAATGTGCTACATTCACAGTCAAGCATGTACAACCATAAAGCCTACACCTACAGCAAGTGTTCTGAACAGACACAGGGCAGCGGGACAGTAGAGGAGCAGGTTATGTACGTTTGGTTTATGTTGAGGATTATAATAACTACTCAACAATATTAAATATTAAATGATTACATTTCTACACAATCTACACAGATCCTTCTCAAATAATCCAGGATATCGAGTGTGTGCTTTGTCCACTGTGAGCTGGGATCCCCCCTAAATATCAATGGTTCTAATCAGTCGAGAAGAAAAGTTTTAAAACACGAGTCTGGACTGAAAGCAATGTGTATAGGCATACTCCCAATACTTATCCCATATAATATCACCCACCACTGGATTTGTAATGAAGGCCCAAAAACTTGATCTTATGTGCTGTGTGTGTGTGTGTGTGTGTGTGTGTGTGTGTGTGTGTGTGTGTGTGTGTCTGTCTGCTTTTTCTGTTGCTTTTGCTCGGACCACACCTATCTTCAAGCTCAGCCTTCCTTTTGATCTCAACTTCTCACCTGTTGACTTTTCGACTCCAAGTCGGGCAAGGGGCGAAAAGTGGGGACGTAATGTGGGGGGCCCAATGACCCCTATGCACCCTATTTTCATTTCCATTTTAACTACACACCTGTGAAGTTTTGTGAGTTTGGCTTCCATAGCACCCAGTGCATGTGTTCTAAATAAAGCTTAAGCACACAGTTTGTGGGGCTTCACAGATAACGCTGTTAATAACTAATGGCAACCAGCCAGTGATGCCATCATTGCCATCAATTGATCCATGTCGCTAGGCTAGGGTGGGCTTTTGCTTCCGTTTCTGACTGTTTCATATTAGAATTTCTTCTGGGTGATGGTATATCTCTGCCAACGAGTCAAGTTGACATCAATGTTTGTCAAAAATGTCATCACTTCATTATCTCTGAAGGCATGAAAAGCTTTGAGATTTGTGAATAAATGGTGTGAAAACACTGCACTGTACACCACTATCACCAGCTGCCTACAGCTACATTCGCTGCAGCACACACACCGTGAATTATTTTTTAGCTGCCTTACCAGCTTCTGGCTGAAGATCATGTGTCGCAGCCACTTGAAGTCCAGAGCTTTAAAGGCAGAGAGGACGAACAGGGACTCAGGCTCGTAGCGCTCTGCCTTCTGGATGGCCCCCTCTGGGTAGGTGATCCTCATGGTGGTCTTGGAGCCCACATCTTTCTCAAAGCCTTTCACTGGAGCCTCGTTTAACCTGCAACACACAGCTGCAAAATCAATCATAAAATGACCTGTCCAAAATAATCAAAGCTGGTTAACATGTAGTTTAGTCTGCAATTGTACAACATTTGATTAAACGATGACTACTTGATTACAGGGAGAGTAATCGAGTTGCATCGAGTCAAGTACCTCCTTCTGTATCACAACGTACCTGACCACCACATCGAACTCATCAATCCTCTGTCCCAGAGACTTGTTGGCGAGGATTCCTCCATTCCCTACGATGATGCAAGTCTTACAGTCCAAACTGTCACACAGAAAAGATCCATAATTGTGTCTACTTTACTCTAATCATTGAACGTATACATTTTTCGTCGAATGTCTGAAATGTACTTTTGCTTATAAATTCATAAAAAATAAAATGCTATGTTTTCTCTCCCTGACTATAACCGTTGGAAGTAAGGCTACAACTTGAATGAAATAGTTATTCCCTCCCTTGTGCCCTTCTTCAACACACTCAGCTACATAGGAAGATGTGGTAGTAGTTTTTCTGTTATTCAAAATCAGTTGTTACCAAAAACGGAAAGGCACTTTTAAAAATAAATATTTGTATATATTCATTCATTCAGCTCTTAGGACTTTTATGTTCTTTATGATTATCTTCCTTCCACAAGTAAAACAACTGTTGCATTATTAGCACAAGTTAACAATGTGTCAGTGTCACAATATGGTGAAAATAATTATTAAATCCTTGTATTGTAGACTCAGTGCAAAATGTGTCCAGTGTTTAGTCTGCTCCGCTTGATTCGGAGTGGAATAATAAACAAATTCCTTAATGTGTTAGCTGGCTGATGGAACAGGGTCAGTGCACAGTGTCTGTGAAACTGATGAGTTCCATATGAAGACAAAGTGAAATGAAGCACTCTGTTGTAGCTGATGTGTGATCCAGTCATTAATGTTGGACTTTCAGGGTACACTGACAGAATAATTATAAAGCACTTGTTTAGAATTTAAAACACATGGCGCTGTCTTTTTTTAAACTAATCCTAGAGGCATTTTTGTAAGTAAGGCACCTTAATTCCAGGGTCACATGAAGAACTAGATTTTAAGCTTTTTGAACATACAATGGATTACATTTGTTCTTAAGTGGGGGAACTTCTTAAGAACAATATGGGCTTAAGCAACAGTAAGACTTTTTTATTGGTAAACTGATTACATTTAGATTAAAATGTTTGTTCCGGTTACTCATAAGCATAGGGCATAAGAGATTTAAGACAGAATTTGTTATTATGTGTTGAACAATTTAGTTTTTACCCATTAATAAGTTCAGATGAAAGGATTAGGGCTACAAGTGAATGTTTTTTAAAATATGACCTAAAGTGTTTTTGTTTTTTTTGTTTCGAGATTAGAGTCAGAGTTCTGACCTTAAAGGTAGGGTAGGTAATTCACTTCAGAAACACTTTTTGTTATATTCCATGGAATGCTCTTAACATCCCGATAGGTCCCCTTTAATGTATTCATTGCTATCATGCAAAATGCACTTTTGTACGTCTTTTATACATGAATATGTGTCCCCGGTGTGTCAGGGAACTCACCAAGTGTCAGAAAACACAACCCTCTCTCTTTTCCTTCATACCCAAATCTCTAAAAACGGGGCTGCAACGGAGCTGATACAGACGTTAATTTTTCTGACGTCAGAAAAGGGGTGCTCCGCCTATATGGGCAACTCTCCACCTATCAGGGGAATGAGAGGTTGGGTCACGGCCGGCCATTGGCGCTCGAAAGTGCTGGAGACGCTGTAGTACATATGCCAGGCCTGTAAGTGGCGCTGTAGTCTGCCACAAAAGCAGCGAAGAAGACTTCCCGTGCATGGTTGCCCTTCTGTTTATTCTCCGCTGTGGACGCTCTGGCTCTTTTTCTCCCTCCCCGAGGCAAGCGTTTGCTCCTGCTGCTGTAATTCAATGCAATCCCTCCCCGAGGCAAGCGCTGTAATTCTCTCCGGTAGTCCACCAGCAGATGACAAACACCCACCTCTCCGCCTCTTCCAAGGGGACCGTGCGGCAGAGTTTCAGTTCGATTTTTTTTCGCCGGTCAACATGTCCGTTAAAGTTGAAATCTTCCGGACAAAATTAGAAAAGTGCCGGTCAAAGGTCTTCTTTGTTATTTATTGAGCTTTAAAACAAATGAATAACGACTCTATATAATAATATAAGAATAATACACGGAGGACGGAGCCTCTCTTTTCCTCCCCCTCTTCTGACAGCCCAGCAGCTGATCTTTGAGCACGCCCCCCTCTCCTGCAGGGGGGCGTGCTCAGCTGCAGCTCATTTGCATTAAAGCTACGTCACAGAATCAGCCCCTGCAAAAACAGGGCTGGAAAAGAGCAAATAGAGCGAAATGAGGCATGGCTAAAATGCATGATCTGTTTGGTATTTTGAAAAAAAAACTTCAGACATGTTTTATATAGGTATGGCCATACAATATATTATTCAAATATAGCATGATAGGTCCACTTTAAATGCTTTGACAATAGATACATAAAACAAATTCATCTGTGGAAGCCGTGGTGCTGTAAAAAGCACGACCAATCATCTGAGCCGGTCCGGCTTAAATAACTGGATGGCCTACCTGCCTGTCAGCCTTCCATCTCGTGCACAAACTTATCTCGTGCCCTCATTGGTCATGTGCACATTCGTGTGTGTTGGAGGAGGGGCTCTGTAAGGAAGTCTGAAGGAAGGGGCAGATTTTTTTCGGCTGCGTACTTTCAAATTCTAGCGCACTCGAGCTGGTTTCTCCATTCTTACCCACCCTACCTTTAATCTTCTCTTCTTTACAGATGAAATATTATATTTTGATTATTTCAAGATGAGTATCTGTATAACATCTGTATTTTTCTGCTATACATTTTGCATTTATAAATATTTGTCTTAAAAGATACTAACTGTTTAGCTTACTTTACCTAAGATGTATTGTGACCTAAAGCTCAGGTGATGATGGAATAAACAGTATATAAAAGGAACTGGAAATCCCATTGCACACTTTCCTAATGAAAACAAGACAACCAAATGCCCTCTGTAAATAACCTTGGTGAACTGGAGAATAGAATTTGAATAGACTGGTAATACATTTGACACTGATCGGCTGCTTAATGTGTGTGCATTTTAAAAGTAAACTGTTAACAGTTTACAAATTATACTGATGGTAGCTTCAAATACACGGTTGTAAAAAACAATATTGTGATGACTGCTCTTTTTTGATTGGCGAATGACTGAACATCTAGAACCCACTTACCTGTCAAGATCCTCCCCAAGGCCGTAGTTCTGAGTGGCTGACAGAAGAATATCTATGAGATTTTCTGCAGGTATATGAGAGACATGAAGGCAGAAAGAGAAAACAAGTGAGATGAGGATGAAAGTGAACTGAAACTTCCCCCCCAGCTATGATGCCCCCATCTCTGTGATGGGTGAGATACGGCTGGCAGCCAGCCACTTCTTCATCTTTGAATGTTATACAACCATTAAAGCGCATTCTCATTTTTCGTCAGGTTTGACTTCATTTCAAGTGTGGGTTTTAGGCCCCGTCCACACGGAGACGAAATCAGTTGAATCCGCTAACGTTCTCTATCGTATAGACGGTTCGTCCACACGAGGCCGAAACGGAAACGCGGATTCGGAGCCCTAATCCGATACACTTTGATAACGGCCGTTTCCGTGTGGACGGAAGACTTTTTTGAAAACGACTTCGGTTCGTTTTCGTCTCCGTGTGGACGGGGCCTTAATGACATTTTTCTTATTAAGCACAAACTAATTTCAGCTTCAGCTTATTTTAAAACTGAATCATGTTTTTGCTCGGGTTCAAGAGGTTTGGTTAAAGAAACATTTCCACTTAAAGAAAAAACACTTCTAGGCTCATTTCTGAAATTGAGATGAGAAGAAGGATATCATTCTAATGTCTTTGTGATAAGTTCGGATCTAGCTTTGCCTCACTTAGCATTAAGTCTGGAAACAATAGAAAACAAAAAAGCCTGGCCCTGTCCAAAGTTCGACAAGACTGGGTTGAAACCAGGTACATGGTTGGCCCCTTGATGGTTTGTGTCCACATTTTTACAGAATTACTAGGAAATTCATTCTCCACACAACTCCTTCTGTCACTTTCTATGTAAACAAAAGCCCGTCACATCTTATATGCTTACAAGAGTTCCAAATAATTATCTCCATTTGTACGATTTATTTTATAAATAGTGCAATGACACAAAAAAGACAGAATTGTTTGAGAGAGATCAGACTGGTGGAAGGATGCAGCCATAGGGTAACCATGAAAGGAGGCTATTAACCCTTCCTTCAAATGTGACGGCTCAGAAGAGGTAACACACTTAAGGCATGGTTGGACCACAAGATGTACAAACTAGCTTGTTTGAATCTTCCACAGTGCTAGTGTACTTTCCCAGTTGGTGGTTAGAAAAATCTAGTCTTAACTTGTGAGAAATTCAGTGCAACTTAAATTGTTTTACCTTTAACTACAAAGAGAAGAACGTGTAATCATACCTTGGGACCTCACACCAAATGGAGGCGGGTAATCACCAATCTTGTAGAATCGTTTGTAATTTGGATCAATGAACATTGGCGCCAGTTTGTTGAACCTGTTGATATAAAAGAAACGGGTAACAGCAAGTAAGAATGAAGAACTGGTGTTCTTTAGAGCAATATCTGTGGTACACCCGTATGGATGTGTGTAGATGCACTGATTAATGGAAGAATGCTTAAGAGGATTTACAGCATCGTGTTACCAGCTAATCCACAGTCTGTCTGATTTCACCTTCACCAAAACACACTTAAAAGACGTGTGAATGAAAGGACAGAGCTGCACATTCTGCACAGTGAGGCTCGGAGCAGATATCCAGTCTGACCTTTTGGCCACGGAAGATCCACAAGTTTACTTGATAAAGGGTGGTAACCGGAAGGCAGGAAAGCATGATCCATCCTCTTCCCTTAAGATTTAGACTGGTGGGAGACTAAACTGGCAGCCTTTTTTTGTCACAAAAAGAAATAATAACCCACGTGGAGATAACATTGTTTTAAACCAACAAAGAAAATATAAACATGTGATTGATTTAGTTGTTACATGAGAATGATAACCTATTCTGCACTGCTCTTTATGGCACCAGATCGACTAAATCATTGATGAAAGACAAACAAAAGAGTTCCCTTTTGCTTTCACATAGTACCCCTGTAAAAACACATTTGTATTTTGCTAGATCAAAACAGGCAATTGCCGATATCTTTGTGTGTTGGGGATTCAATCTCCGTGTTGCGTAGCCAAACGAAGTTGATTCCAACTCGTCAGAAAACCACCGAAACCATCCTCGGTTAGATCTTTCCACTGTTGCAGCAATCACCGACTCTGGCTAGGTCGCAATAAACCCTTAATTCAGCAAGTTCTATGTGAAATGATTCTGTTACTACCTGCTGTTTTTCCCTACTGTTTCTCTCCCTGCCTGTGGAGCAACAGTGGCTCTGATTCCCTCTTTGGAAGCAGACCAATAAGGCAGCAAAAAAAGAAAAACATTGCCACAACAATAACAACAATATGGATATTTTTCCTTATTTTTTCAACTTTGTTTCAAAACCTTTTCAGGACAGGTGTTGTTAGTTAGCATTGAGTTACAAACAATGCTCATGTTGTAACGGCATTGCAGGGACAATAGAAAAAGTGAACTCATGATGTGTCAATAATGTGCAATAGTGTACAGTAGTGTTTTACCCAATTTTTCCCTGATGTTACATTCTGAAGATATTTATGTTGAAATCGGCAGGAAGAGAGCAATTGATTTTGTTAGCAGCCGGGCAGGACAGTCCTGTTGACTAAATACAAATAGTCCAAGGATCCATTGAGTTAGGTTATGAAGGGTTTGAGCTCTATACCGTAAAAAAAAACAACATTGTTGGGGAAAAGGTGAATTAGAAAAATCATTTAAAAAAATTTTAGGAAATTTTAGTCTGTTGAAATTGTTGAAGTACAGAAGGTGTTGTACTGTATAGTGGATGTGTTTGCCGAATTGGGTCACTTGGATGTAGGTGGCACCCATTAATTTAATCAGGGTGATTTGGTGGCTGCTGTTTTTGCTGAATGACACAGCTGTGATTAGCATCAGAATATTGTCCATTAGAAAATGATTTAAACTTTTCATTAAATTAAGATTTCATTAAAGATTTAAGAATCACAGCTAAACTTTTTTGGTAGTTTGTCAGAAAAAATGTATAGAAAAATCTAAATGAATCACTCTACATAGTCCAACTGTCTGGTTACCACCTACAGTTTCCTTTCTAATGAAGTTGTGCTTCACTTTGCTTGTAAAACAAAAATAATACAGTGAAGGGTATTTTCTTATTGCCTCAGCATGTTATGCTTCATTTAGTCTCCACATCTGTCTCCACTTTGAGGGATTAGGCTGTTAGGAGAGCCAATGTATTTTAACACTTAAGACATTTTAAAAAGTCTCCCATTTGGAAAAACAAAATTAATCTGAAAATAAATAATCAGAAGAAAAAAAATCATTATCAAAAACAACTGCTAGTTTTTTACTTCGAAAAATGTTAACCGAGTCCATTTTTGAAAAACCAGGCCTACAAAAAGTACACAAAGTGCACAAACATTAGCTGTGAAAGAGGTCAAACAGAAGAAACATGTTTCTTTAACCGAGTCAACCCCTCCAGGTTTTGGCAGCTTGTTTCTTTATGTGAAATATCACATAAGGAACTGCAAATGAGCTCTGATTTGGTAACACAAAACAGCTGCTAATCAGTCAATGTTGGAAGGTCTTCGAAATAATTGATAGACACCTGAAAACACTTCAACATAGTTAAGAAATCAGCAACTAATGATGCATTCTACCCTTCTGTCCTCAAACTAACGCCACATTTCTATTGAATGGTACTGCTGTAATTGCCTCGTATGACAGAATTCCTCTTTTTTCTTGCGATTGTACGACCTCACTGTAGGCCAGGTGATAGACTGTCTGCTGTAGGGACGGCACATGAGTCTTCTACGTGAATGGAGACATCTTTTCATCGAAGGATTTGAACTTCAGCACTTTATTGTAAGGGGTTTGCTGGCTGCCAGTTGTTTTAAAATTTGGGTTTAAAGATCTGGGTTTTTTAATTGAAGCGGATATTGTGGATGGCTGCATCTCTATGTATGTTCAAGTGTTAATTTGTCTGAGTCCTTTGGTTTTAACTTGTTATTAAATGCTATGAAAAGGGGTGAGGTGTCATCATTGAAAGCTGTGATTGACGGCTGTGAGTGAAGGATTTGTAGACTCTTTAACTCTCCATAACTGTTACAATTCTGTGTAATAAAAACTGTTTACATTTGATAATATAGGAATATATAGATCGTTTTTTAGATATTGTGTCGTTTGGCAGCAGTGGCTTGTCTGTGGAGACTTAACTTGGGAATCAAAGGCTCTGGTGCCAGGAGAGGTTGCCGTTTGCTTCCTGACCACTACCATGGTGCCCTTAAACAAGGCATCAGACCCTCACACTGCTCTACATATGCTGTATGGATGCTTATTTCTATGTGGATTTCATTAATTATAACTTCAGGAAATTGGTAACTGGGGATAATCTGATGTTTGCATCGCTTATCCTCAATACTTATTTGTAGTAGCTTTGCTATTGCAACACTGTCAATTTCACTGCTGCGGGACAAATTAAGGATTTCTGCTTCTGATACACCAATGAACTGACTTATTACATATCCCCTCTGGATTATCACAGTCGCTTTCAGTCACCATGTTGTCTGTGCATATGAGAAGCCCAAAGACTGGTGCCCCCTCATTTATGACTAATCGTTCAAAACCTACAGTCTCGTAGATCTGGCGTTGAACATTGGGCTTCCAGTATGAATGATGACTTCTCCGGCGCTGCTGAATAAAGAGTTTTTGAACTCCACTAGATGTTGACATGTTTAGGGGCATATTTTGTTTCCATGATAGTCTCACAACTGTGCAAGATGCAGTCAAGAAACCCAAACGGGTAATAATAAGGAAGAAGCTGAGTTAATCTTAGCAGCAGCGGAGGAACGCAGTGGGTCAAGAATGCCCGGGGCATTTTACCATTCCTTCCTGCCGATCAAAATCCTCCTGTGTTATTTTAACATGTTACAGCTCGGACTGTGTGAAGACACTTCATCAATGCTGCTGTCTGAAGGACCTGGTGGGTTCCAGGGTTGCGTGTCTCTGGTGCTCTGAAAGTAAGTGGATAAGTGAACCGGCCGGAGGTTTTCTCACGCACTGGGACACCAGGGGAGCAGAAGAAGACAAAAATAGATCTGCACCACACATGGGCCCATTTAGACCACTGAATCTTCTGACTTTTTTTTATACATAGTGCAGAAAACATAAGCAGATGAGGGGCTTTCACGGTCTGGAGACTCCTTGGTTTTTAATAATGCAGAGGCAGAAATGGGATCTTTCCTCTTTCATACCACTCTGAGCTCAGAGAGCTTACCATTAGGGAAGGTAAGCAACTTCCAACGAAAAGAGCCCTATAAAACCTATTGATTTACGAGTAGAAAACATACAATATTATCTTAATATTAACAACAAAGAGTCAAACTTAGTTATAACTGTTGGCATCCTACAGAAAATAGAAGAGCAAGAGTAATACATATACATTAACTGTAAAACCCCCTCAGGTAATCAGTTTTGTTATTGGACTCCCTGAGTTACTTGCAGTTTCCTGTGGCATCGACTCACTGCTTAGATCCCAAATACCAGAGCAACCATTGTATTTGTAGTTCTACTTCATGTAGCCAGCTTGTTACTCCATTGATTCAGATTACACACAATCCAATGATCAACTAACACGGATCTTTACAGTTTATGTCTTCCCACAAAATTGGAATATATCATACATTCTAATTAATTATATGTCAAGCATCAAATCTTCCACGGCATAGTATTCCTTTGGATAAATACATTCTTATTCCTATATTGAAAACACAAGGCCCTGGTGGGGTTAGAACCCTGGACTTTCTTTATATAAAAGGTAACAGTGTAACAGTTTATTCTGAGCTTCACAAATTGTGTGTGACACAAGTGATTACAACCAGTACTAGAATAGAATAGAATAGAATAGAATAGAATAGGGAGGGATGAAACCCTCTTTAATGGTCACACATGCAGAGCACACAGCACACACAGTGACATTTGGCCTCTGCTTTTAACCCATCCTAGTACCAGGAGTCTAGTACTAGGAGCAGTGGGCAGCTATTGTACAGCGCCCGGGGAGCAATGGGAGTGGGGGGGAAGGGGGGTGTCCGGTGCCTTGCTCAAGGGCACCACGGCAGGGCAGGAGGTGAACTGGGACCTCTCCAAGTAGAAGTCCACACTCCATATTTAGGTCTGGTCGGGGACTTGAACCAGCGACCCTACGGCTCCCAGTCCAAGCCCCTACTGACTGAGCCACTGTCATCGACCAGCAAACTGCTGGCTTAGAGTCTCTTGGCCACCCTTTGCACAATTGGTCAGGTCATCTGTGACTTCTAAACTGCCACTTGCTGCTGTGGTGTATTCTACACAAATAGAAACTTTCTCTAGATTTGTTTTCTGGTCTGACTCACCAGAGTGAGGGGCTTACTCTGGTGAGTCAGATAATAAACTGCTGTGTCACTGTTGTTGCACACCTGAATGCTAGATTGTAATGGATAACGGCAGTCGTATATTGATATGAAAATAATGGCCTTGGCATTGACATGATTGGCAAAAAAATATATATATAAAAACTCAGATTGTGCATTTATTGAAATATAAATTTTAGCTTAGAACATCATCGCAGTAATAACCCCAAACCAGTGTTGAGCTGTATCCATGTCTTACACTGCTTATATCATGCATTTGCAGGGATATTTATAGACTAAATAAGTAACCATTCTTCAGATAAGGCACGCGGCTGACCCTAACCCTTTTTTCCCTTTGTGGGCCAAAGCTGAAACTGAATGGAGGGCCACAGTCATGGCAAACACTGTATTATATATAGCGCACCGGAGTACTTTTCCCACAATAGTTCATCAGAACTACGATATATTTGCGTTCACACCAAAAAGCCCCCTGAACTAAATTAGTTCATCAGAACCATTTTTACCCCGTTTTCAGTCCCTGCTAGAGAGCAAGGACTTTCGTGGGAGAAAAAAAGTTCACACGTCTGATTGGCTGTGCGGAATGCAAACCACGCCCCGTTTAACTCTGAATTTATTTTTTGGAGCGGCCATTGTATTTGCTGGCATTATTAGCCCAGCGCACCAACGAGAGTACTTTTGTGAAAGCAGTTATTATGGCAACAATAAAAATACGAAAATCATCGGAGCGGTGGAGTGATGAGGATGTGTCGGCACGTCTGGCGATTTACTCGGAGGATGGGATCCAGCAGCTTCTACTGAAGGCAGTTTCCAACTGCAAAATGTATCAGCGTTGTTCGGTAAAGTTAGCCGACATGGGAATCTTCCACAGCGCACTCATGCCGGGACAAAATAAAGAAACTAAAGCAGGACTACAAACAAATAAAAGACCATAATAACAAGAGTGGTAACGGCCGGAAGACCCGTAAATGGTATGATCGATTGGATGCTCTGCCTTGGCGACAGACCCTCATTCTCCGGCACTTGTGGTGAAACGGCGGATTCAGTGCCCTGTGAATTGACAAACGACGACGACTACGAAGGTAAAATAAACTACATGCACTGCACTGTTTTAATCTGCACAATACTGGTCTCAGATGTACTTTTATTTGCTCAGTAGATCGAGCTAGCCATGCTAGCCAGAACGGGCTAACACTGCTAGCCAGTTCAGCCTAGCATGGCTAATAACATCATTCTCGGCCGCTATGAAAACGTTTTTGACTTGTGAATAAGTGTGTAATGTTTTCTGTAATGTGCTTCACTAACTCATGGCACTAATCGTGTGTTTCAGGCGAGGCAGGACAACTCTCTGGATTGGAAACAAGTGAGCTTTCCCCTCCGGATCACAACAGCAGCACTTTCTCGTCTCCTTTTCAACCATCCAAACGCAAAAGTACGTACAAACACACTGTAACTACTCTGGTCTTGAAAGAACGTTACGCATCGAACTGATGTCCACTAATCACGTTTATTTCCTTATTGGTACAATTATGAAACACCGTGAAAATACATCGTTTACACTTTTAGCGCCCTTTTCACTCTCTCATAAACATCCGGGCTAGAGGTCACATGACTTCCGGTAAGAAAACGTATCATTTTTGGACAAAGTTCAAGCGTACATTAAGCACTCTAAAAAAATATAAAACAATAAATAAGGGCACTTTGAGCGTCAGCTATTTGATGCTATCTTATCTTCTACTTTACACCTGCATTTTGTACACTGTCCCTGTCTGCACCCTGTCCAATGTTGTCTCTGTTGACAACCTACTAGTAAACAAATTCCTAGTATGTTATAAAACTTCATGGCGATTAATCTGATCTTGTATATTTCTCCTCATAGGAAAGCGGGCACGGGATGACAGCTTCCTTGACACCATCATGGCGATGGAGGACCGCCGTGCCATGGTCAGCAAGGAGAATGAGGACCTGTATATATGTATGTATATATATATATATATATATATATATATGTGTTTTGATACTACTGACACTTTATTTGATATTGAAAATGTTAACTTCTATTTACATGCATACGACACACCTGGGACAGTGTGATGCCGTTATTGATATTGTCTTGAGTGTGCAATAAAAGAGAACCTACATGGCGATTATACAGAGCCTGTATCTTACATTTTTCATTACATTTCATGTACGCTGTACAATAGCTGCCCACTGCTCCTAGTACTAGACTCCTGGTACTAGGATGGGTTAAATGCAGAGGCCAACTTTCACTGTGTGTGCTGTGTGCTCTGCATGTGTGACCATTAAAGAGGGTTTCATCCCTTTTAGATGTAACTAAGCTTGCTTATTTCTCCTCTGACACACCTGTGTAGCATCCTATACATCACATGTAAGTGATTATTCTGATACCATCATGTTTCATCGGTTATAAACTGGCGAAGCTTTATTTATTGTGGCTTTCAAAAAGATCATTTCATTGCATTTCAAAATGGCGTCCATCAACACAAGCACTATTTATTTATAGAAAGAAATGGTTAAGTTTGTTATTACCAGTGTTGTGAGTTCAATATTTTAATTAATTATAGTAAGGGAACATCTTAGGAGTTAGTGTAGTGAGGTTCAGAGCAGTGTAATAATTATTTGACCTAAAACTAAATGTTTTTATGAACATGACATGGGGATTTGCTAACTTTTGATTTCCCCCATTTTACACGACACAAATGGAGGCCACTATGGGCCAAAACTAACACGTAGGTTTCTGTAGGGTTCATGGCAGACGGATGCAGTTGCTCTCAGGAGGATATATAATAAAGGTGTGTTAACTGCTGAGCCTATTTACTGTGCATACAACACACCTGGCACAGTTTATTCATTTCACACATGTTACGCAATCCATAGCGCGTGCATGTCGTCGTCCAATCCTTTTGTCAATCCTTCTTAACCGCCTTCGCTTCCGAATCAGCATTGCTATTGCATTTGACTGGTCGACGATCTGTATTTGTGTTTGCTTAAATAACTCAGACGAAGCTCATGTCTGAGGTCGGAAGGTAAACAGACGCCTCATATACAGCAGGTGGGTGCGGCAGTATACGCGGGAGGTTTTTCTTCTTCTTTTTCTCTCGGTTTTTTGGCGGATTGCAACTTTAAGGTGCATACCGCCACCTACTGTACTCGCCGTGAAGTTGTTTGCGGCCTGCCAGTAAACCCAAAGCAGAAGAAGAAGAAGTGACGTCAGCAGTTCATTTGCCTAATCCACCCCCAGGAACTCATTTTGGTGTGAACGTGATCTGCTTTAGTTAATCAGAACTAAAAGAGTTCTCATGAACTATTGTGGGAAAAGTACTTGGTGTGAACGCGCCTTATAGAATGGACCCTACTTTTGGCAGCCCTGCTCTAAAAGAACCCAAGATGGACCGGGGATTGCATGAGTTTATAATGCCAACACCAGGGTGACAACTTATCTAACAATTATGGTTGATGTGTAAAATGCTCGGTCACTTTCATACATTGTTAGTGTTCTTACCTTGGATAGATGGCTGTCATCTTAGCAGCTGCATAGCCAGGCTTACAGGCTCCCTCACTGAGATTGCCGTACTTGTACATCAGCTCCAACGGCCTAAAGACATGGAGGAATAAAGTAAGCCAATAATTAAAACTCACACAAATTATACACACAGTAAAAGTGCAATGATTTGGGAAGGGAAGCGTGTATTAATAGTAAAATGTATACTCACAGGCTGCCATCCAGCTTCAGAAGGAACCCTTGTTTGTCATACACTAGACAAATAAATTAGGTTAATAGGATGGAATTCAATAAAATGCATAACATGTAGAAAATCATAGTTATTTGTATGACATTGACATATTTAATTTGTTAAAAGGAAACCCTGACTAAATGTAACACTAACTACATGCAGTATTGTTATTTGATTTGAGACATGTGGGTTACAATATTTACAGCTCTCAGCAGTGACAAGACAAAAGGTACTGAAACATGGAAATATAGAATAGATCTTGTATTTTCACCCTTTATTTTTCCTGTTTTTAGAGGCTTTATTTGTCCAAATCCTAAAATGTACATAAATGATTGAGACCAGCTCTTAACAGATAGTAGATAGATATCCAGATGACACAGTATCGCCCTCTGCTGTTCTTTTATTTTCTTTAATGATTTGCAAGGTGTTGTAAACATTGGTGACTGAAAATCTGACCTCCGATTCTAATGCCTACCATCGAGACACCATGATCATTGATTGATGCTTCACTCTTTTTCACCCGTTTAGTTTCCATAAATTAGGTATTTTGAAACTCTTTTACAACCATTTCAGTTGTGAACTCAGAACCAGAAAATGATCACAATGGTAAAAAAGATTGGCCTTATCTAAAACATGTTCATATGCATGTGATATTCAAAAAGTTTGAGAAAGTTCCATTTGGTGCTAATGTTATAATGCATGCTCATAAAAAAAAAAGGATGAATAACATACACAAATCTATTAGCATAACTTTGCTTAGGCTGTCTTTTATTGTGCTTGTGAATCAAGATTTAGCTCCAAGTTTACTAATGAAAACTTCATACAATTCATTCCCTTTCTGCAAATATATCCTACAGACTGGTCCTTTAAGTAACATCACCCAGTCCTTGTCACGGCCAGCAATGTAACTCTAGTTACTTGCTTTAGATTTGTTATGTTTTCCCTTCCACTTTCCCAAGTCTCTGAGATTCCCTCACTTGCATATTTTCCTTAAGGCTTAGTCCCTCCCAGCGGGATGCATGGAAATTAACTGGGAAATAATGTGAGGAGAGAGGAAATAAGTAAAAGTGCTCTTAGAGAAATGAGACGTCCTTTCCTCTGCAACGTCACACGAAGCAACGTCCATTCGTTCAGCATTAAGCGACTACTGGGGTGCTTCTGTTGCACAGATATTTCATATTTGAAATAGTAATTCACTGCCTGACTGTCACAACAGTAATGTCCTTTGATGCAGATTTCCCCATAAATGTGTTATTTTTTCCAATCATAGCTTAACCATGTCACATGATATATGTTTTTTTTAATAGGTTTGTGAATCTCACACATGGCTTCTTCTTACAAATGAACATTTATCCCACTTCATTTGAAATACCTAAATTAGTTTAATGTTTGGACATTCAGCGTAAAAATACAGAGATATGAAGTCCTAGGAAGACTCACATGAATTGTGGCCCCAGCCTTTCAAACTGATCCTCCCAGACGAGTAGTAGAGGAATCCCAGGGCCAGCATGGAGCACAGGCCCAGGAAGAGGTTGCGGGTGGGTTTCATTCTCATCTCCACCTAGCATACATGGTCCATCCCACACTGGTGGCTGTATGGAGAGGAAATACAACTGGTTAGTTCAGGTCTCACACACAGCCTATATTTATTTAAAACAATTGACCACAGACACCATAACTCTGGAAAATGTAAGAGACCAGTGCTAAAATGTCAGTTTCTTTGTTTTTTACAATTTATAGTATGTAGTTGAGTAAAGTGATTTTTGTTTTCAACGAGATATAAAGATTATATTTACAGAAAATAACAGGTGGTCAAATAACGACAAATAGGTAGTGGTTTCAGACTTTAAACAATGCAAAGAAAACAAGTTTATATTAATTTCTGAACACCACAATACAAATTAGCATTTAACTTCGGAATAGTTTAGAAAGCAATATTGATGGATTTCAATACAATTATAATTGTGTAGTAGTCCGTATTTCTCCGGAGCTGTATGTTTTCATTTTGTCTACCATGACAATTAAATATATTTGTTTTCAATTACATGAAACAGCATTTCAAACATTTTGGTGAAATTGTACTCCATCTATTTCAGACATTAAAACTGTGGGCCTCAATATTTAACCCCTAAACATAACCAAGATAATTAATATTATTTTTTATGATACAGTACTTTAAAGGACAGTTTTTTGGACGTGACCATTTTCATGGGAGGGCAGAGTGCATTTGTTGTGATGTGTTGTATTGAAAAAATATACACACTGACACACACGGCTTAAGGGGGCATTTAGTCGGTAAGGGGTATGATTTTAACCACTAACGTGAGGTCAGTTAATTTCATTTACACTGAACAATTAACAATGTATAAACTGTGAAAAATAATGACGGGGACTACAGAAGGATGCATGTTATTGCAGCTAACAGCTAACATAGCTCATGCTGTACAATAATGATAGCTTCAGTAAAGACCAGCTCTACTCCGCTGGCAGATGGTAACAGATGTAAAACGCGCTGCCATTCAAGACATGAAAATGACGGGAGGAATATCCTTAACATTGAATGAATGTAACAGAAATATAAAACCAATAGGCATGACTGACGTTAGCTTGCTACGCTAGCAGGCAAGCCATTCAGTGACTCCTGCCGAGCAGATAACGTTACCGTTATGTTTTCAAGTTGACCTCAAATCCATCGGTGCTTCCTGCCGCCGTCTGTGGCACCAAGCTGCCCATATGCATAGGTCAGCATTAACGGTATGTGAAATCATTCCAATACTCATTACACGTCTTGCATTTTACCAGCACACTTGAGGGGCAGAATGTGTGTCCCAGTCCCCTCAGTGCAGGCTCCAGGCACGGTGCTCAGCGGGGCTACCCGATTGGTCCAGCCTCTGTACGGAGACAACTGCACGCCAAACTTCAAACAGAAATCTGCTATTTAATGACGCATGTTCCATCAGGAAGTGAACCCATTTGCAGGGCCGGTGTTCCGGATTAACTGGTTTTCCGATCAACTGGTTTACGGGAGGCAGAGGTGGGGGGCGTGGCCTTAGACTGAAATACACATTTCGATCGCTTCTTCTGTCGTTTACATACATCTTTTGTTATATTAGGCTCGGTAACAAGACTTTAATGCACATTCTGTACCAGTGTGTGAGGTTGTGGTTACGATGGCGATATCCGGACGTGTACAGCGAGGACTACAAAAAGACAAACGAGGTGACAGCGGATGTCTGTTCAAAACATTGCGAGCTCGAATAAATCATTTAAACCAGCTATTGTTGCCAGACTTATCACTGAATATCGTTCTTAATGTGATACCAAGTCCATCTGAGACCTGTGTACACCTAGACAGCATCCAACTGAAGCGTACGTTGTTAACTCACAGTTTGAAAGCAGCGTGGAGAAGTCTTCAGCGGTGGTAAACTGTGATCCGCTCAGGTAAACTGCCGCTCAGGTAAACTGCGATCCGCCCAGGGAAAAATGGGATCCGCCCAGGTTAAACCGTGTTACGAGTACGACTTCTGTGGCTATCTACCAGCTATCATGTTTAATATGAAAGACTACACACACTTGTATCCCTTATAAAAACGGTATGCTGCAGCACTCATCCAGATAAAATGTGACTGTTAACTCGTTTTTGCAAAGACAGCGGCAGAAATGTCATTGCTGCATGTGCAGGGATTTAGACTTTAGACTTAAAATGCTGATGGGTCATTAATGTTGGTCTCGGCAAACAATATTAGGAATCCTCTTTTCAAACATAATATTCAGTGTATTCAGTGTCCATCGACATGAAAATAACAAAAAAGTTAATGCTGGACTCAAACCATAGACTGTATATACTCAAACCCGAGTCCCAATAGCATAAATCATTCGAGCTATGCGCGTTATGAGTGCGCCACAAATCAATACGACATCTTGGTCCACCACAGCTCATTTTGTTACATTAACTAAAAAGTTCCAGAAAAATGCAACCTGACCATCATTTATAATGTGAGCGAATGTATGTACACTTTAAGCCATTTAATATATATATATATTGTAGTGCCGAGAGAAGGGATTCGGAGGCGGTGCATCGAAGGTGCAAAGTTGGTTTTATTCAGAAGCAGAAAACCACATGTTGCAGGTGTTATGCCGTAGATTGAAGCCTTGCCGTAGATTGAAGTCCTTTTCGCGGGGACGCGCACAGGTGACGTCATCGCCTGTATTGAGCTTCGCCTAGTTTTCAAAGCTTTTTTCTCTCTTTTGAATGATATATTTCCCATCAGATTAAACAGCAAACGGCTGAATAAATAATGTGCATACAATTGCAAGGTTGCTCGTTTTAAGGAAAGACAATGAAGGGATAAGATGTCATGTGTCAGTATAGTCCTATTTCTTAAAACCTTCGCTGTTATTTAAGTGTCTGATACTTGATAACCACGAATAGTAAGCAATGATATAACAGTAATGATATAACATATGATAATGTAAGACACTGTGTTATTTTCAATCAAGCCTAAAAGATAATTTGTTCAAACTAGCTCTACTCGCTTTAATTGCTCCTTTGAATGTAATTGTCCTCCGTGGTTTCCTACTCAACACATTTTTGTATTGTAATGCCACTCATATTTTATTTTTTATTTTATTTTAAGGTGACATTGAATGTTTTGAAAGGTGCCCTAAAATAAAGTGTATTATTGATCTTATATCTGTGCCTATATCACACTATTAATGTTCCTTATTTTAGACTAGGTTTTTCCTGGTGTCAATAGGGAAGATATGCACTGTTCTCTACATAACATGTTCAGCAGAGCAGGTATTTCTCCTGCCAGATATGGCACCCCCCCTACAACTTTGTCCACGACAGTCACACCGTCACCAAAATCACACTGGTGTTGCCTGTTCCCCTCTAGTGTGTGCTCACAAAAGCATTTTACTCTGGGCCCAGCAGGTAAAAAACTAAACAGGGGCTTCCATATCCGGCAGAGAAGGTGTTGTAGTTGCCGGATTTGGAACCCCCCCTATATCTTTGTCCAGGATAGTCATAGACTCACCAAAATCACACTGGTGTTTGCTGTTCCCCTCTAGTTTGTGCTCACCAAAGCATTTTACTCTGGGCCCAGCAGGTGAAAAACTAAAGAGGGGCTTCCAAATCCGGCAGAGAAGGTGCTGCCAGATATGGCACCCCCCCTACAACTTTGTCCAGGACAGTCACAACTTCACCAAAATCACATTGGTGTTTGCTGTTCCCCTCTAGTTTAGTTTTTACTCTGGGCCCAGCAGGTGAAAAATTATAGGGGGGGCACCTTCTCTGCCGGATTTGGAAGCCCCTCTTTAGTTTTTCACCTGCTGGGCCCAGAGTAAAATGCTTTGGTATATCCCGGTTGTCCCCAGCAGGGAGGAGCGCAGCCCGGCCGCAGGCGAGCGCGCAGGCGAGCGCGCAGGCGAGCGCGCAGGCGAGCGCGCAGGCGAGCGCGCAGGCGAGCGCGCATCGGCGGCGGGCACGAGGTCCTCGGGAGGAATGAGCGGTATCCCCGGGAGGCAGGAGCAGTCTCCCCGGGAGGAAGGAGCCGTGGACAGGGGAGAGGCGAGACGGGGTCAAGAAGTGCGCCACCCAGGCGCCGATGACAGCGTGGGCGACGTCCGAAGCCGCCGTCGAGGCGAACCGTGAGCCGCGGTTAGAGGAGAGGCCAGGCAGGGTCCAGAAGTGCGCCACCCACGGGCCGATGAAGGTGTGGGCGACGTCCGAAGCTGTTGCTGAGGCGAGGGCAGAGGCCAGACAGGTCTCGAAGCGCGCCACCCATGGGCCGATGAAAGCATGGGCGACGTCCAAAACTGTCGAGGCGAGACAGGGTCCAGAAGGGCGCCACCCAGGCGCAGATGAAACCGCCGTCGAGGTGGTGAAAAAGCGAGTGTCCACACGAGGTCGACGGTCTGGTCGAACCTCCTCTCAGGCACCGGAAAAAGCTCAAAAGGGTCGTCCTGTCCACGATCCAAAAAAGAAATGGGCAAAATTGTGAGAGGATCCATACGAGGTCAACCAGACTTGGTCGAACCTCCTCTCCGGCACCACCAAAAAGGGTTAACAGTCAGATGTTAACAGATGGAAGCAGTCACCCGTTAGCTGCTAGTCGTTAGCTGTCAGTCGTTGTTAGCTGCTAGCCGTTAGCTGTCGTCATTAGCCATTAGCTGTTAGTCGTCGGTAGCTGCTAGCCGTTAGCCGTCGTCGTTAGCTGTTAGCTGTTAGCCGTTGTCGACGGCCGCTAGCTGTAAGCCGGTAGCCGTTCGATGCCGTCGGCCCCGGAGCCTCTGCTAGGCGGCGTGCCTCTACCAGGGAAGGTGCCGCTGCGTGCAGGGGCCAGCACCTCAGGGGTAAATCGCCGGGCGGCCAGGAAGAACCGGTCAGCTTCTTCGGCTAAAGCGCGGAGCTCCACACTAGCCGTGTTAGCGAGCGCCTGTGTGTTATCTGAACTCGCAATACTAACTTTTCTTCTTCTTGTATTTTGTTCGTTTTGTTGTGTTTTCTTCTTCTTCTTCATTTGTTGTTTAAGGGCGGCTGGCAAACAGCTTTTAGGCGCAATACCGCCCCCTGGATTATATATAGTGTAGTGGATACTGCCCTGAATGACAGACGTACAAAAAAAAGGCGTATTCGTCGTGTGACTGCATGCACCGAACCGTGACGGTACGGGACGAATACGGACACCGTTACACCCCTAGTACCCTTGTATCTCAGATCACTGAAGACCGCAATGGTCGATATGTTATGGTATCTGGCTCACTGTATAACACACCCTTAACTCTTATAAATGTTTACACTCCGAACTGTGATGATTATATGTTTTTTAATGAACTATTCTTAAATATGCCTGTTGCTGAGGGTCACCAATTGATAGTGGGGGGAGACATGAATTGTGTTCTAGACCCAAAGATAGACCGCTCTTTAGCACGACCCGTGCAGTTAACAAAATGTGCATTGGGTCTGCAGTCACACTTAGAAACTCTGGGAGCCGTAGATGCGTAGCGCTTCCTCTTCCCGTCAGCTAGGCAGGGAAGCACTCTTTCTTTTCCCCTGTACACCAATCGTACTCACGCATTGATTACTTTTTTATTGACAAACGCCTTCTTCCGATGGTAAAAAATGGCAGATCAGATCATTGTCCTTTGATCATGGAGCTATGCTTTGAGAATCAACCAACGCCTTCTCGATCTTGGAGATGTAATACTTACTAACTATCTGATGAAACCTTCATAAATTGCATATCTTCAGAAATTGACATATTTTTTTAGATTAATATTGATAAAGACATGAAATGGAGTTCTATCTGGGAAAGTCTTAAAGCATATATCCGTGGGAAAATAATCTCTTATACAGTAGCTCCTTCAAAAACAAACAAAGAAGGATGCGCTTGCTGGAGTTGACCAATATGATTTTAAATTTGGATCAGCAACATTATGCTTCTCCATCTCCTGATTTATATAAACAGAGATTATGTTTACAGACAGAATGTAATCTTCTTTCTACTAGACAGACTGAACAGATGATTTTAAAATCAAAGGGATTGGTTTATGAGCAGGGCGAAAGAGCATCCAAAATTCTTGCTCACCAATTGCGGCGCTCAGAGAGCTCACGACTAATAGCTCAAAATCAGAAATGAATCTGGCCACCTGACCCATGATTCTGGTGAAATCAACAAAACATTTAATAACTTCTATAGACTTTACGAATCCGAATCCTGTAGGAACTAAAAACTACTAGATACTTTTTTTGAAGGCATTTCTTTTCCCACTTTAGGCGATGATGCTAGGAAGCAGCTCGATGAACAAATTACTACATCTGAAATTGAAGAAGCTATAAAAACAATGCAAGTGGGCAAATCTCCTGGGCCAGATGGCTTCCCGGTTGAATTTTATAGAACCTTTAGCAAAAATCTTACTCCTGTTTTAAAAGAAATGTATGATGAATCCATAAGATCCAGTTCCTTACCTCCAACCTTAAATGAAGCGACAATATCCTTACTATTAAAACCAAATAAAGACCCATTAGAACCTTCGTCATACCGCGCAATCTCTTTATTAAATGTTGATTTGAAAATATTATCCAAATGCCTTGCTAGACGCCTGGAAAAACAGTTGCCAACAATAATATCGCAGGATCAAACTGGGTTTATTAAAGGGAGGCACGTTTTTTTTAATATACGCAGACTGTTTCAAATCTTATACACTCCCCCCTCACCTCAACCTGGGATAGTCTTATCCATTAGATAGATGCCGAAAAAGCCTTTAACCGGGTAGAATGGGATTATTTATGTTATACCCTTGCTAAATTTGGATTAGGTGAACACTATATATCATGGATAAAACTATTATATTAATCTCCGATGGCACAAGTACAAACCAACAAAGAGAAATCTAATGATTTCCCACTTCACCGCAGTACAAGGTAGGGCTGCCCCCTATCTCCCCTCCTATTTGCAGTGGCTGGCCGAATCAATGCCGTTAAGATGAATGTTTTGCCGAAATGTCTTTATTTGTTTCAATGTGTGCCAGTATTGATAAGAAGAAAATTCTTTGTAGCCCTTGACAAATCTATCTCAACATTTATTTGGAATAATAAACCTTCAAGAATTCGTAAGGCTTTTTTGCAAAGGCCAAAACAATCAGGACTGGAGGAATGGCTTTACCTAACTTTGAGTATTACTACTGGGCAGCTAATATTCGTAGCATGTTATTTTGGAAAATGCCGTTAGACAACCAACAACCATCCTGGTTGGCTGCTGACGCCTCATTTTGTAAACAATCTTCACTACCTGCTCTCTTGACATGCCCCACAACTGTGGATCTCTCTGCATATACAAATAACCCAACACTTGGACATTCACTTAGGATCTGGGTACAGTTTAGGAAAACAATTGGACTTGTATTAATGCCCCTTTCAGCACCTATTGATCAAAATCATTATTTTCCCCATCACTGCAGAACCTTGCTTTTAAAATATGGAAAACAAAAGGTATTCAATATTTTGGAGATTTATATATTGATGGTACTTTTGTCTCATTCACCCAGCTGAAACAGAAATATAACCTTACTAACAACCCATTTTTTAGATATCTGCAGGTTAGAAACGTTGCTCAAACTAATCTAGTTCATTTCCCCTATCCGCCAGATAAAACAATATTAGACCATATTTTGGATGTTAACCCACTCGGAAGAGGTGTGGTTGCTCAAATATATAAGAACATTTCTCAACTTGACTGCCCCTCCTTATCTATAATTAAAGGCCTATGGGAAGAGGATTTACAATTACAATTGGATGAGGACACATGGGATTAAATTCTAAACAAAGTTCACTCCTCTATCTGCGCACGGCATGGACTCCTACTCCTACTATACTAAAGCGAGATTAGCCAAGTTTTATCCTAATGTGAGCCCCATGTGTGCTAGGTGCAAGAATCAAGTAGGGAATCTTATTCACACTTTTTGGACTTGTCCCCGGCTTTGCAAGTACTGGGAAGATGTTTTTAAAACTCTCTCAGAAGTGTTTGAGATTCCTCTCAATCAGTCTCCGCAGACAGCATTGTTTGGAGTTGTTGCTAGAGAAGCTCAACTTCCAAAATATAAATGAAATGCCATTGAATTTTGCATCGTTGATAGCTCGACGACTAATTCTTCTTAAATGGAAGGATGAATCACCACCCACCCATACTCACTGGATTAGAGACCTGTTGCAGTTTTTGCATCTGGAGTAAATCCGGTCCACTCTGAAGGGATCTACTGATAGATGTGATAAGGCCTGGCAGCCATTGATCACACACGTAGAGAAGTGCAAGCTGGACTCTCTTTAAAGAAGAGTCGGTATAGATTTGAGTGTTGCTGAATCTGGGCTACTACCATTTCTAAAGCAATATTGTAAGTTTTGTATATATTTTGTCTTTTTGTTTGTCGTTTGCTTTGTATGTTTTAATTTATTTAATTTTTGTGTCAATTGTGAAAACGTATTTGACTGCTCAATGACATTCTGTATGATTTTTCTTTGTAATGAAAATTTTCAAAAATAAAGTGTTAAAATAAAAATAAAAGATGTACTCAAAATCAACTCCCGGACCTACTGCCAGTTTTTAGAAGACACTTTCTTCCATCAGTGGTACAGGAAAAGGTCTGCATCTTTCAGGAAGACCATGATTTTATGAAGAACAATGCTCCATCACATGCATCGAAGTACTCCACTGGGTGGCGAGCCAGTAAAGGCCTTAAAGATGAAAGAATAAAGACATGGCCCCCTTGCTCACCTGACCTTAACCCTATTGAGAACTTGTGGGCCCTTCTTAAACAGGAGATCTGCGTTGAAGGAAGACAGTACACCTCTCTGAACAGTGTCTGGGAGGCTGTGGTTGCTGCTGCATCAAAAGTTGATCGTCAACAGATCAACAACACTCCATGAATGGAAGGCTTGGGACTGTTATTGAAGAGAAGGGTGGCTTATTGCTATATTGCCTGGTATTTCTTTTGAGTTGTTTATTATTCTCACTTTAACAGATGAAAATAAAGTGAGATGGGAACGTTGTCGTTTTTCCTTTAGTTGCATAATAGTTCTGCACACTAATAGTTGCCCAATAATTGTCGAAAATAAGCAAAGAAAATGACATAGTATTTGGAAAATATGCTAAAAACGACTAAACACATAGCATGTCGAAAATATGGAAAAACAACAACATAGTATATCGAACATTTCCCAAAAACAACAATGTATAGTGTGTTGATATTGAAAATATATATATTTTTTAACAGTTTTTGATAACTGAAATAACATATCGTGGTATATCGAAAATATGCAAAGAAAACAATGTACAAAAAGGGTGTCTAAATTTGACATACTCTGGAGGGAACTTTGTGACTTTAGCCTTTGCAGACCAGATGCACAAAACCTATACAATACACTCAGGGGAAATCCCCAAAAAGCACAAGAGGCCCCCTTTTTAATATGGCTTTTTTGATCTAACCGGATATACTCGGAGTGAATGCAGAATAAGGACAAGACAAATAGTGCTGAAGCAAATTTCTTTACTTAAACGAACAGATGAGTTTTAGAAATTGCTTGAATAATAATCTGTAAATTCAGCAACAAGAACAGAACGCTCCTCTCCTGCGTCAACGGGTAACATCTTAAAATAGACTACATGACATTTACACTTCACAGCATTCTGTGAAAACACACATAGAACATGTTTTACAAAACAGCGCAATAAAACAGTTAAGAAAATCCCCTCTGAACTCTGATGATACTTCATGAATACAAAAATCCATTCTTCACTGGACTGATGAAAGCGGGGTCTTTGCATTGGCTAACGGCTAACAGCTAACTATAAAACTAGCATTCCTCTGTCTGTACTGCAGCCTCACAACCACAAGAACAAGACTCACACATGAGCTTGGCCGAGCGGGAGGGGCGAACAATCCATAAGACTTTTCATAAATGTACAATTAACATTCTATAACAGGTACGCATTGGCAGCACACACCTATTTAAATGTCCTCGCAAACTAAACTTAAATAAAAGTGCAATGCACAACTTTGAGTAGAAGAGCGAGGAAACAAATGTATAGACAAAGCACGTTATAAATCTGAATAAATTCATCTGTATACTGTAGAAAAAATACATCATTAAACTCAACTTCGGCAGCATTAATGCTACTCCTGTCTGTAATGCAAAACTTTCTCAAAGCACCTTAATAAATAGGCAGGTAAAACAAGCTTTATTCACTTCTAATAAAGGAATGCAGTTCAATCAGCAGAATGCAATCAGTGGATTAAATGGGATTGCTACCACTTAAAGAAATACTTCATCCATATATTATTATTTTTTGAATCTATTTGTTCATCTGAAATGCTGGGGAAAAAGTGTATACTCGCATGTGGGAGCAGTTTCTTAAAGTTGTAGGGAGATTATTTTTATATAATAATATATATATTTTCTTTTGCTCAAGCCAGGTTTGAAGCACTCCAATTCTGTGGTCAATATGTCCAAAACGTTATATTATAATCTCAATTTGTTGTCACACTAAACAGTAAATCACAATGTCGGCTCGAGACATATTGTGGTCACACTTTTCCAAAAAACTAAAGTTTGAATAATCTAATCTCAAGGGCAATTTAACATGTTTTTATAGCTTCAACTGCAGTTAAAAGGCCTGAAAAGGAATGAATGAACCACGCCTACTATCAATATTCTTCAAACGTTATTTGAAGTTTTCTTTTTTAAACTTCTACTTAAATCTTCTGATATCTAATTTCAAGTACCAAAAGCTGTCAGTAAACATATCTTGTCAGGTGGCTAATCTTGATACAAATCTTTTGAACATTTAAAAACGTATTTGGTTTCCAGTCATGAACCTTAAAAATGTAAACAATTCTCATCCATTTTTTTTTAAAGATAACCAAAAGGTTATTTAATTGTTAGACCAGAAACTCAAGCACTGTACCTGCACTAATATAACAAAAAACCTTTAGTAGTTTCATTACTTTTTGTTTGCGGATAGAAATGATCTAAATAATTGTTTCACAAAAACTCGTGAGCAAAAACATCGGGCATCGTTCCAGCTGATCAGCTACCTGATACAAAACTTTAGGAGAGTAATTCAAATCATTAAAAAGATAATATCAGTGCAATTGAGTTGATTAGATGTCTGTAAAGAGTTGAACCATGGTGAAGGATTCCAAAGACAGTGGCTGTATGGACTCATGTTGAATGATGTGCGTTATCACATTGAGAGGTGGAGCCAAGTAAATGGAGCTAATAACGTAAAGCTCTGCTTCCTGACACACGCAGTACCTTTTGTGTCGGAGTCAGGGCTTCATTCTGTTAAAAGGTAGGGCCTGTGTTAGTTTGGTTTGATCCAATGTCATTTATTAAAAAATGTCTTGCACATAGCAGACCAAAAGAGTGGGTGTAAGTTTTAAGGACTTAATTATTTTGAACTGCTTTTATGTAAACATGGTGCATAGTCCTTAAAAAGTTGTGTTGAATGAAATGAGCATGGCAGGATATGGAGCCTGGCAGGTATCAGGGGTAGGATCTTTAGAGCTAAATGTCAAGTCAACAGACTTATGAATGAACATAATTCATTTATCATATTTTAAGCGAAAATGCCAAATTGGTACTTGTTCCGTTTGATATTATTTTAAATTGAATAATGAAGATTTAATTTCAGTTCAGGGCAATTGGGATGAGCCTTTTTCACTCATTTCTGAAACTATAAACAAAACTAATTGTTAGTTGCAGACAGAAACAATTATAAAAAATTAGCACACAAAATTAGATTACATGATATGAAAAATGTCAATAAAAGTATTCATTTGAAATCATTCATTTAGAAATGTAAGGGCACATTTAAGTCCTACCTTATAACTTTAAAATGTAAATTAAAAAAGCTTTAACTGGGATAATTGTCAGGCTCGGCTTATTAGCCGCTAATGGCTTTTCCAATTGAAATGTTTTGTAGAGAGAAATTAATTAGAATACATTTCAAGTTGCATTACTGTCAAAATGCTAGTTTATTAAACAAATACCATTTTTGTAATGCTTCCTTCTTCTACGTACTGCCAGGTACAGGAACTACTGAAATAAATAAATGCTGCAGTCTCTTTAATCGGAGTCAAACAAAGCCAATATAAGTTTGATTGAAGGAACAAAGATGGAAGTAAAAAAAGGAGAACAGTCCAAAGCGAGCCCTGAAGGAAAAGATGTGGAGCTACAGTCTGTCAGTGGCTAGCTGCTAAGCTAATGTTTGGGTACAGTTCAGAGTGTCAGGCTGCTGGTGTGCGTGTGTGAGAGCGGACAGGAAGTGAGCGTTACTCCATGATGGTTCTGTAGATCACAGGCTCGATGTAGTCCCCTCTGTAACGCGAGTTGATCACTCTCTGTCTCTTTGACTTCTTGATGATCTCCTTCTCCTCGAAGATGCCATCGAATCTCATGTCGGACGCTTTAGACTGCGGAGACAAACACACATTAACACACTGTCTTTCCTTAACTCTTTCTCTGTTAAATGGATACACTAGATTAGACAGAAATGTTAGCTGGAGTCAGGACTCTGTGTGTGTGTGTGTGTGTGTGTGTGTGTGTGTGTGTGTGTGTGTGTGTGTGTGTGTGTGTGTGTGTGTGTGTGTGTGTGTGTGTCTGTGTGTGTGTGTCTGTGTGTGTGTGTGTGTGTGTGTGTGTGTGTGTGTGTGTGTGTGTGTGTGTGTGTGTGTGTGTGTGTGTTCTTTGGGTCGCACTCACCAGTCTTGACTTGACTCTCTTTGGGAGTTCCTCATCCAGAGCATAGACGTCGTCTCTCTTTGCCGTTAGCTGAGACCCATCCTCAAATTCCACCTACAGCCCAAAATGCAGCACACAACGCAGTCAGAGAAATGTCATATTCATGCCCATTTATGTCAAATATCTCCTTCCAACCACATGGGATGAAAAACCATAATAAGTAAAAATAAGGAGAGAACACTAAACACCTATTTGTATAAATAATGATGAGTGTAACTGCTAGAAGAGCAATACAATGAAATGGCCCTATTATGCTTTTTGGGGGTTTCCCTCTCCTGTAGTGTTCTATAGGTTTGTGTGCATGTAAATGGTCTGCAAAGGATAAAATCGCAAAGTTCTCTCCAGAGGGAGTTTCTCTCCCACACACTCCCCCCTACTTCATTTGAATCCTTTGTTTACTTCCCTAACATATTGACATCACTATGGCCCGTTCTCATTTCATCAAATGTTCCTCCTCGACTCCCCTCCTCGACTCCTATCCTCGTGTCTTAGTCCCGCCCACAGGAGATGCGAGCGGAGGAGCCGAGGAGGGGAGCCGAGGAGAGAGGAGGGGAAGCAGCAGGCGGTTAGAGAAATGAGAACTCCTCTCCTCTGAGCGGTCATTTTATAGAGACGTCCATTAATGATGACAGGAGGCACAGCAGCCCTCTGTCTGATGGACAGATGTGTTCATGACCACTTATATATTTACTTTGAATTCATTCACAGTGCGGTATAATGAGACAATAACAGGCTACAGATGCGGACAGACACACACACACACACACACACACACACAGACACACACAGACACACACACACACACACACACACACACACACACACACACACACAGACACACACAGACACACACACACACACACACACACACACACATATATGTATATATTTATATAAATATATACAATTTCAGAATCAAACAGAGCACTCTCATAATAACGTAACACTATCAGAGACTGGATATATCCCCCCCCCCTCTCCCCTCTCTGGTCACTACAATGAGGGAAATAAATGACGGGCCAAAAGTTTTATTTACAAGTATTAAAAGTAAGCAGAGGACACCAAACTAACTGAGACCTGTCTGTCCGCTGCATCTACGCACACACTACCACACACACCTACACCACACACACCTACACACTGTACAACACGCACCTACACGCTGTACAACACGCACCTACAGCTCCTAAAGCATATCATCAGGCTACAGCCGTTGTGTATTTTATTTTGTGAAGCACTAAATGGTTTTAGAAAAATATCGACTTTGTTTGTAGATATCTACTAAACTAAAGCAAATAAAGAGAGTAGGCCTGTTATACTGAGTGATATATATTTTACACACTGCTCTGCTTTCTGCACGGACCTCACAGCTGTTCTCACTGTAAACATCGCGTCGCGATGAAAGCAGTTAATAGAATAATATCCAGGGGATGCATGCAGAGCTGTCATTGGCTGAGATAAGTCCGGCCGTGCGTCACGACTCTTTGAAACATCACTGTTGCCGGAAATGCATCCACGAAGGAGCCGTGGAGGACCCATCAGTGTATCCTCGGTTATAGCTCCTCCAGAGAGCCTCCTCGACGCTCGATGCTCGGTCCTCGATGTGCATTTCGAGAAATGAGATGTCCTTCAACATGGCGCGCTGAAATCCATTTCCGGGTCACTACCGGAGGACCGAGGAGTCGAGGAGTCGAGGAGGGACATTTGATGAAATGAGAACGGGCCTATGTACTTGCGCTTCTATTGGCTGGCACTCCAACACATTGTACGTGATTGGCTAAGGGGCGGGACGTTTCCGACACATATCAAAGCGGTTGACCAATCACAACAGAGCCGGCCAGCTAACCAATCAGAGCAGACTGAGCTCTGGTTTCAGACAAAGGGTGAAAAGAGGTGCTGCAGCACAGGCAGTATGAGAGAAATAAAGAGCTTTTTGAACATTAAAGCATGGAGACATGTCTCAGTTTAATACTTCCGACTCCCTTAACTCAAAATCAAAGTTTCTTTAAACATGTTTTGGTGAGACGGGTGAAATACAAGCTGAAGAGATTTTCGTGTTTCATTCCACAACTTAAAATCAGCAGTAAAATCCCCAATTGTGAATGTTCAAAGCTTCTACGTACCATACAAGCAGTTTCTGACAAAACATTAGCACCATTTGTTTATAGCCTAAAGTTAGCTTCTTCTGGGGATTGCATCACGCTTAAAAAAGTGGTGTTAATATTTGGAGATTATTCCTGCTGAACAAAACATTTAAGTCTCATAAATGTGTGTTTGGCACAGCTCTTATTTTCTGCAATATTCTGAAATACCATATACGATGTTAACTTCCAGGTTGGCCTACAAAAAATGCCAACACTCCTCCTCTCTTTTGTGGAAAGTAACATATTAGGTGTTAAGTGTGAGCAGCCTCCTGTCCCTTTAAAGACTGCAGTGCTTCTGCCTGCACAGGGCATTCCAAAGACAGGAGGGACAGGGGAAGTCTCAGGAGACATTCAGAGGCTTAAAATAGATCTTGCCTGGGTTGGGAGCACTCGATAAAGTAAGAGGCAGGCCAGACTTCACTTTTAGAGTCATTCACAAAGCATTCAGCACTGAAAGCAGCTCCAAAGTGTGAGAACTTTGAGAGTAGTCACACACTGCTCACAGTCCAATGCTGCAGCTGATGCACCTGGTCATGTCAACATCTTAGAAAGAAACAAGTTCAATCCGATCCAGTCAATTCAATAACCGATGGAAACAATCAGATTACATGACAGGTAGGACGACTCTCCAACTGTGGAAAGATGCAGATACTGTAGACTCATCACACCGATCATCTCTTCTATCCTTCATTAGACAGACTTTTCTATAGTAAATGATCACTAACTGCAATAAATAAGTACATTAATAAAGATGATTTATCGGCCATCGCAAAATCATATATTTGTGTTTTATGTCAAATCTAACTGTCTGTGTCTGTGTTCCATGAGTCCTCTGTTTGATGAATATTTGATTTCACATTGAAGGACATGAACCGCTCACCTATCAACCGAACCACTGTGAAAAATAGGAAGTTCCTTTATGACACATGATGTCATCCGTCCTCTTTTCTTAGCTTGGTATGTCTCTCAGTCTCTGTTTTTCGTTTTTATTCACAAACACTACATGCTTAGTCTTTGTCCTCTGTTGGATCCAGATCTTTTATTAATTGTTATAGAACATAGCCTTAAGGCCACGTTCAAATGGACAGCAGCCCGTAAATAAAACAAACATATACACCTCTATGGTAGAATCATTTGTAAGATGAAGACTGTTTTCTATCGTTCACCACTCGCTCTATTTTCTGCTGTTAGAACTTGATGTTGGAATAAAAATCCTTCTTCTTTATTTTATTAACTGCTGTGCATTGTTGTTTTTTTGTCAGTGCATAACATATTCCAAGATCAAAATGTAGCAGGGAGAAATTACCTTTTTGATAGAAACTAAATGTTTTGTGCTGGCAACTATATTCTACATCAGGGGTAGCCAACACGGTGCCCGCGGGGGCAACGTGAGTCGCCCGCAGGGGCAACGTGAGTCGCCCGCAGGGGCAAGTTCTAAAAATAGCTCGCCAAGCAAATCCAAAATGTATAAAATACACAAAACAAAAAAGGAAATGTAATTAAAAGAATCTACCCTATGCATAAACGAAACCTCAATCATAGCGAACTCTATCTACTTACTACAACTCTATATCTATCTAACACCCCTCCTCCCCCCACCCCCACAATGAATATCTACCAATCACGTTCTTGCTTGATTTGCGGGACCAGCGTTGCAGTCGGGAAGAAAAGCAATGTGGCACCTCCCCGCTGATTTTCCTTCTGGCAGAATCTACACAACACATCAGCCCCATTGAACAGCCTATCATGCCAGCCTATACAGCACATGGGGGGCAGAGTTTTACTCTGTGTGTTGCAACTTGCATATATATTTATTGCACTTGACGCACACACATGCATGGCGTAATTTCCACCTGGGACAGGGGGGAAATGTCCCCCGCTCTTTTCGAAATCCCGTTTGTGTCCCCCCACTTTACAAATATGTTTATTATTATTTTTTAACGGAAGCCGTCATCGCCACGGAGGAGCACACAGCCTCTGTGAGCGAGCGAGACAGAGGGAGAGAGAGAGAGAGAGAGCTAGGGAGAGAGAGAGAGAGAGAGAGCTAGGGAGAGCACACCTTTATCTATTTAATCTAGATAAAGTAAGAAATCATTCCAATGTGTATAGGACAGTAAGAAAAACAAAAAAACAGTTTAAAAGGGGAGTGATTAGTAAAATAAGCATAAATGAAAAGAAAGAATGCTAACTAGGTAACATAAGATAAGAATAAACAAGTTTAAATGATTTGTTATTGGTTGTGATCATATTCTAAAGATGTTTGGATTATTGAAAAGTATACAGCTCCCTTTCATCTGAGTGTTGAGAGCTGTATCCATCAATTCATGTTGTGCTCAAAGTTCTCCAGATTGATGCATTTCACTTCAACATGCCCCCGGACCCCCCTAGAGGAGGTGAGGACCCCCCTAGAGGAGGTGAGGACCCCCCTAGAGGAGGTGAGGTCCACCCCAAAATAAAGCAGGTTAAAATAATTAAATTGCATGCATGTTCTTTGAGTAAACACTGAAAGGGGTCCCACAGACCCAAACAGCACACAAAGGTTAAAGGTCAGCATATTATAATGTTAAAATGTGCTAAATATATACACAGCAAACAACTAAAAAAAGAGGAGTAAAAGTAGCCCCCGACTTGTTTTATTTTTTGAAAGTAGCCCTCACCCTAAAAAAGGTTGGTGACCCCTGCTCTACATGTTACAATTGTGAGTCTGTAGTTAAGTTTGACTTAATAACAGCAATTCAAGCTTTGTGATGTGACAACAAACCAACAAAACACAATAACAACATCTTACCAGGTACATGTAGATGGCACGCGATGCCACAAATTTGGCCCCATACACCAGGCCGTCTGTCCATCGCACCTTCACCTCCTCACCCTGAGGGGGGGGCCCAAGCTGAGCACAGTCTCGGTTCTGAAAAACAAAACACAGAGTTGTGAGCAAACTGAACTGAGATCACACATCATCTCATGTCTTACATTGGAAACACAGCTCTCTATGATATCAACACAATGCTACACATTAAAGTCACTGCAGTACAACACATAATGTCCTTGATGTCCAGAAGACAAACTCAAAGTTTAACATGCATATCTAAAAAGGGCAACAATCTGCGCTATAGGTAAACACAAGTTCATAATAACAGATTGGATGTTCTTTCAAAAAGAATATCCAGATTTCTACTCCCTGTAAGTCCTTTTAGAGTTGAAACGTTTCTTTGAATTGACAAGATAAAGATGAGTTAGTGAGACTCACCACGATGTCTTGGGGGAAGAGATTGTCACTGAAGGAACCATCGTCAAAGTTGACTTCGTAGAAGGTCTCTTTAGTCAGCTGCACCACGTCACACTGGTAGTAGCGGCCGTTCTTGTGCTTGCAGATCACCTTCTGTCCCACCGTCAGCTCATGCATGGCTGCTTTATTGCGCTGTAAGAGAAGATTTAAGAAAACACAGCTTTATGAATGGCTTATGTTGATGCTACTTCTGTAGTACCTGACATTTGGTTGCACTGCACTGTACACAAAGTGAAACAAAGGGTAACATGGGTTATGGGCTAGGGTTATCTCCATCAAAACAGTAACAAAGATGTTATTTGGTAGCATTGTGAAGCAACATGGGATCATGGGAATGCATCCCTTTGGTCAGCTCAAACCCCCAGGAAGTGGGCTGGGCATTGAAGCCAAACGGTGGTACTACCATGTCAGTCTGTGACGTCATTGGCCCTGAAAATACTTTTTCCGCATCGACTGACTTTACATTGGAAAAGACATATTTGTAGATCAGCACTTATTTATTTTTGTAACTAAATCAACATCCCTGTTTGACACTTGATTAGTCCTTTTTTTAATCATTACCTTCTTAAACGTTGATGCTGACACATGCTTAAAAGGGGATACGACACAATTCCAGGAGACCAAATTAAACTCACTGTACTAAATAACATGTTTCTCTGATACATTTGGGATAATGTACACAACTCAACTAAATATACAACATCGGTCTAGTCGTTTAAATGAATTTTGATGAGAACATTTGAATCTATTCTACCTTTAAAGAAAAAGAGACACTCAGAAGCTCCTTACCTCAATCTGAGTGGGCCCTTTGTGTCGACAGCAGGTAACGTGGACTACAAAGGGCCATTCATCGGGCTGCATGAGCACTCCTGCAGCCTGGGCACAGGTGGGGTGGTAGGCAGTGGGGCAGCGGCCATGAGAGCACTGCACACAGCAGCCAGACGCCTTCTTCATCCGCTTCTTACAGTAGTAGCACTTCTGTCAGAGATTAAAACACAGGAGCCAAGGCTGAGGAAACTGCAATGGATTCGAAATGATTCAATTAAGGCGAAATGTACATATCTTTGATCTACTGTGTGAACTACTAGAGAACAGGTCATTACTCCTCCACGCCGTGTTTAGCAATCAGCCTTCAATTATCTGAGCTGCTTATTATTTGAATTCCAGCTTTCAATTGAGAATGTAACGGTAGCTTTTGCATTACAATGCTGACGTTATTTTAACTCACCAGTTTAAATCTCTGCAAAGGGATTCCACTTAAATCCACAGGACTTCTTTCAGTGATGTTGACAAAGCGTGCCTCCAGCACAGCAACTGTACACAGCACATGTACCCACCTGCAACAAACCAAAACATGCGTACATATTGTTAATGGTTCTTTAGTTATGTGGCATTGTAAGTGTACGCATTTTCACAAAAACCTTATTCATCTTAGAACATTTTTGATCATTGTTGGCGTTTCTTGAAGTGGTCAATGTGCTACCGTGTTAAATCCTGCAACTTTGGTAACCGATCAACGTGCGTCCCTACACTGATTCATATTTTTGACTCAGAAGTCCTATGTTGTTGGCTGTTAAGTGGTTTAAATATCTTAGACCTGCTTGAGAAAAAACATTATCAAAGTGCAGATGTTTAAAACTAGCTGTACTTCCCCCATCCTGACAACTTACTTGTTGTTGTTGGCTTTCTGCAAGGCTCCACCTCTCAGCGAACACAAACAGCAATTCTGCAAAAAAGACCATGTCATCAATCAATTGCTAACGATAGAGTCCTGATCTTTTCAGCGTTGTAGCTTCAATCCAAAACTCAAGAGAGTAGTAAACAATTATTGTTGTCAGACTCCTAAATGTTGTGTTTAACGCGGGGTTTCTGTTGCCAGCAGCAACATGAGCCGCAGCTTATTTAGACCTTGTTGAGGAGGTAATACATCAAAGAATCCTGTAACCATGGAAGCCTCTGTCCCTAAACTGAACCTGAGGGATTGACATTTAAATAAAAAATAAAAAAACCTCAACTTTAATAATCTATAGTATCCTATATTTATGTTTTTGTTTCTATTTGTAGAAGATTCAGTCCATTATAGAGTATATTTTCATATTGTGTATTGGATACTCTAAAGATATACATTTTTCTACTGTTTCTTTGTATATATTTACATTTGTATTTTATTCTATTTTTACTCATGTGTAATGCCTCTGAACATGAGTCTATAACAAAGAAATCCTAATTCAATTTAATCGAAGACGAAAAAAACGTCTCTTAAGCTTACTTCCAATCCATTGAAGATGAGCTAAGGGATCCTCCATTTCCTACTCTACTTACCGTTTCATCATGTGACACTGCACAAGTGAGCCTCTACATTTAAAGCACAAACACCTCAGTTCCAAAATGTACCCATGTGCTCAGTGCAGCCTCACTCTATACTAATTATTGGACTCTTACACAAACTTCAACGTGTTTGATGTCATTAGACATCTCAAGGAGTGTAAGGGGTTAAGGTTAGGGTTAAACATATTGGCAGCATTAGATGAGCAAACTGAGAAAAAGTAGGTTCAAGTGTAAACAATGTAAGCCTTGTTGATAAAAGGGCAGATTTGATTCATACATGTGTATCATCATTTGGGATGCTTGATTTGTGAAGAGCCACTTAGGCAACTAGCAAGAGGGCTCCATGGAAACAACAGAGCAACATGTTTTGGTTCACTGACCTCATTCATGGCGTTGGCCTTGCAGCGCGCACATTTCCACTCCTTGCTCACACTGGCTGGATCCACACCGTAACAGCCTAAAATATATAAACACAAAGACTCAGTCAGACACACTAGTGTGATAGCTGAGACATTATGAAGTGTTGTTAGTGCTGCCATCCACAGACAGCATTTGGTCATGCTCCAAAACGGAGAAAATTAGAATAATAATAATAAGGTTGGCAGGGTTGGGTCACGTGTGCACAGGCTATGTTATATGATATAACTGTGGAGATGCAGTACTCACTGGTGTGAACCCGGATGCTGCACTGAGAGCAGCTGATGAGGAGGCTGGTTCCGTCTTCCTCTAGATGAGGCGTTACGGGCGGCTCCTCACACTCAGAGTCCTCCTCTGTGGTGGTGGTGAAACACATCTCTGGGATCAGTGGTTTGGTCCGCATGCCCCCCCCAGGAACCATGACGGGACTGTCCACAATGCTGGCACATTCCGTCTGCCAGCAAGCACAGAAACATAGAGCTTACAACAAAGTAGATAATAGGAATATGGACAAAAAAAACACCTACTGGTCCACATGAAAGTTGGGTTGGTGCTAACAATTATGTAAAAATAGCTACGTCAGCTAAATAACACGTAATGTAATGTTGTATGAAAGTGCAGGGCTGAATGATGTCTTCAAAGTTATGTAAAAAAATAGTGATACACTAATAAATATTGAATTGAATTACTTTTTCTCTCCATAGGATGTGCTCTAAATGTTGGCGGTGAGTGGATCTTACCTGCTGGTATGTGTAGAACAGCATGCAAATGGAGCAGTATGGAGGTTTGGATTCCATGCGCTGGTTGTACTCCTTCTCTTTCTTCAGGTTGGGGGGTCTGTTCTGCCACAGGTGAGCCAGAGGTTTAGCCCAGCTCTCCCCCTCCAGGCCACCCTCCTCTACCCGGGGTGCCTCCTCTGGAACCTCTGAGGGACAAACAAGCCCAACAGCAATGTTTGACTACACAGATTTAAAAGTACTTTGAGGATATTCGCTTAACCCATTTCTACAAATAAAATGCTCAGACAATATGAAGATGAGGCATTGTCACTAACCTTCATCACTCATGCCGTCCTTTATGAGTGGATGGTGGCCTGGAAGCTGTCCCAGGTCATTCTCTTCCTCTTCATCTCCAGTTGCCTCTCCGGCCCGCTGCTGAGGGACACACCACTGTTAGCATCAGCATCCAGGCCGGCTTTACACAAGACCACCCTGGTATGTTTTGATCTTTTACCCTGTGCAGCAGTGGGGTGGACCTTCAGGGCTCTGGACTGAGTAGAGCATGTTTTACACAACAAGCCTTTAAACGCTGATGCTTATTGGCTGGACTTTTGCTGCTGAATGCGGGACATAACCACGTAACAACTAAAGTATCTTTTACTTCCCTGGAATCAATGATTCAATCAATTGCAGGCAGCACTTCAAGCAATTGGACTGTTATGAACAGGCAATGCATTAGAACCTACCACACAGTTAATATTCAATGTCTTTTTTTTGTGTCTTGTTTCTGCACTTCTGTGATTCTGTCTTAAAGCGCATTTCCACTACACGGTCGGCCTCGGCCACACTCGGTACGGCTCGGTACGGCTTGGCCGCGTTGGGCCTTAACAGGGCCGACTCACTTCATGCTGCGCTTCCATTACAGTTTAGGAACTGGGGTAGTTACTATAGTAACGCAGTGTAGGCGGAGCCGTGACGTCATCTTCAATGAGAAATCCAGAAACACAACACAGCCGTTAGCTGTGAGCACTCAGAGCTCACAGCTCCTTATATATGTTCAGAAACTCGACAAAAGTTAAACAAGTACACACCACAGACTGCCTGTGTCATGGTGAATACAGTCGCTGCCTTATTTATGTCTGTATAGGCCGTTGTTGTGAGTGTGGACGGTCGGGGCATATACTGCGTTAGCTTAGCCAATCTCCATCTAGAAAAACACGCATTTTAAAAGGTTTTTCCCCTGCCGTCTGTCTGCAGACTTGACAAAGCATTAATTCATGGTTTTTACTAACCGGTATCAGTATGTTGTTACTTCGGCATCATTTTGAAACGTGTATTACAATTAAATCACGGTCAAATATGTCCATCTTGTTGTAGTTCTAGCCCTCTTGCCAGCGCTCCTCTCTCTAGTTTAGCATACTCAGCCCGACTCAGCCCTGTTTGTTGGCCCCGATAGAACCACAATTTTCTAGGGCCAGAAAAGAGGGGAAAAAGTGGCCCCGCGCCGTGCCGCGCCGGAACGAGGCCTAGTGGAAGCACAACCAAAAAAGGGGACGGCACGACACGGCACGCTTAAAGCGAGCTACGCGCTGCAATGGAAATGCGCCATTAATGCATCAAGGACTGTGTCCTGATTTGACCTGAGATGAATCGTCTCCTTCTTTGTTTTAACTGGCATCTAACTGATCTGAGCATCCTTAGGCGCTTTCACACCGGAGTACTTTTCCCAGGAATAGTTCCGATAGTTCCTGGGATTTTGCGTTCACACCAAAAAGATCTAGAGCTTTTTTTTGCGAACCTTTTCCCCCCTTTTTAGTCCCTGCTAGAGAGCAGGTACTTTCCTGGGGAGAAAAAGGTTCCTATGTCTGATTGGCTGGGCGAATTGCAAACCACGCCCCATAAAACTCTGAAAAGTTTTTGGGAAGCCGCCATTTTATTTGCTCACATTAGCATTATTAGCATTAGCATTCGCCCAGCGCACCAACGGAGAGAGACTAACTTATGGCAACACAAAAGAAAACATGGGAGCGTGGAGATGAGGAGGTGTCGGCGTTCTGGTGATTTACTCGGAAGGCTTCAGTAGAAGCTGCTGGGAGTCCCAGCAGCTTCTACTGAAGCCAGTCCCCAACTCCGGGGACTTCCGGCCGGGGACTCCGGGTGCCAGTATACGCCGTGAAGTTGTTTGCGGCCTGCCAGTAAACCCAAAGCAGAAGAAGAAGAAGTGACGTCAGCAACTCCCTCAGGGACTTATTCCGGTGTGAACGCGATTTACTAGATAGTTCCAGGAAATAAAAGTTCCTGGGAAAAGTTCCGAAAGCGCCTCTTGAAACCAATTGTTTGAAATAATGTTAACAATAAAGTGAACAATACTTGGCTAATACATGTGTTAAGTTTGTCAACTTACTGCTTTGCAAACATTTCTGTAGTCATTCTCAATCTCATTGTCACTGTCCTCACTCGTCCTCTCCTCCTTCGGGGGGGGCTCTCCCTCTGCGTAGTCTCCCTTGGCGTAGCTGTGTACGTGCAGGACGTCCGCGGGGCTCAGCGTCCTCTGGAACGCTTTGTGTGGCGGGCTGCAGCTGCCCCCCCGCTGACTCTCCTCCTCAGAGCAGAGACCCGCCCCCTGGCTCTCAATGTGCTCTGATGGACAGCTTTTTGCAGCTGGCACACCGTTCTTCTCTTTTTTCATAATGCTTTGTCTGTTGCGAGTCTTCTTAGCCCTGGGTCTGGATTGAGATTTCATCTGAGGCTTGGCTTCTTTCTCCTTCTTAGGCTCCGTCTTGACTTTTACTGTGTCTGAAAGAATAACATAGAAATGACCAACATTATTGAATCTACTGGTACACCAAGATCCTCCAAAAGAACTGTCACAGGTCGTTGGCTCAGTATCTTCCAGGTCATTACATCCTTTACAACAAAAAATGAAATGAAGCTAGGAGAATGAGCCGTTGGTAAAGATGCAGTTTGACCTTAACACCCTTTGTCCTGAGTGAACTGTACCTTTATTGGGCTTCACAGAGACTTTAGTGGGAGTCTCCTTGCGTGACAGCTTGGCCTTCTTTGGCTCCACCTCCTCTATCGTCAGCTCAGGTTTGATATCTGCAGATGCTTTATCAGCTTCGAGCTGACGCTTTGTCCCAGTCTGAGGCTTTGGACTGAAGCATGGGAAAAATAACTGTTAAGATATGCACTATATGACTCAAGGGGAAGCTTACTAATACAGCATGTGAAGAACAAATCTTTCACACACAATCTTCATTTTATGCAACATTATCCTTCTATTCCACAACATTTTGGAGGCAAAATGTTGTACTTTTTACGCCACTACAGTATTACTAGATTTACCCAAGTAAATGATCTGAAGACAGAAACAGTGTACTTATTGATATAATGCTGAAGTGCATTTTAACAGAGATATGATAACTAAGCTTAGAAAAAAAGTTAAACAACTACACAGTTAAGGACCAACATTTTAGGAACAACACACAGAAAAAGTATTTCAAAAATCTTAACATGGGATTTGCTGTATAAATATTAGGGGTGTTGAAAATAATCGTTTCTACGATGCATTACGATGCGGACGTGGACGATTTGGTATCGATGCAGTGACGGAAGATAATCGATTATAGCGTAGTAACGTTGCTTCCTGATTTTCCGGCCGCGGCTTTACTATAACGTTTTTTTTTCTGTCACTTTAATATCAAATCGGTCGGTGACGCAGAGATCAGGGAAGAGACGTGACAGCGGCACAGCAACACCAAACACGGAGCAGTCTGCTTTATCCACCAACACAAGAACACCAGTCCAGAACCAACAGCAGAAGGACCCGCTCTGAATCACTCCGTGTCGCTGCGGCTCAGAGACACAAGGATTCATGTTTTTCAAAAATAATCGCGTTACAATCATGTCAGGTTTTTGGTGGATTTAATTAAGTCTTGGATTGCAGAGTATGAATGTCCTCTTGCAATTTTCAGACGATATATACGTGTGTAAAGTTTGTGAAGGCAGGAGGAAAAAAGCTTCCGCGATCACCGTCTCCTCTCCGTTCCTCCAAACCCCGCCCCCTCCCTGAAAATAATGAGTGACAGGCTGATAGTGACCCGATAGAAACTTTATTATTCACTTAATCACTGATTGAGATATAATGAAGCTAACTTAATCTCATACATTCATGGGATTTATGTAACAGTAAGACAGAGAATGTAAGTGTGCACCCACATGCAGTATTTTTGTTTGTATACTATTGTAAATACTCCTGTTGTCTGCTGTGTTCAGACTCAAGTCCTGTGTGTGATGCCACATTCAGGACATGCAGTGTCCTTTTTTTAACAGAAGACCGTTGCTAGAAGCTGCAGCTAGACTGCAGAAGCATTAGTTTTTTGTTTTTGAGGATGGAACAACTTCACACACAGATATAGGGAGGCTAGACCTATACAATACATTTATTTTGGTTTATAAATGAATGTCAAGACATTTATGTTATTGATTTCTGAAGCACTTTCTAAATAATAAAAAGAGAGTTCATATGTATTTACTGCATGTATGCATTGATGAAAAATAAGCCATGTGCAGTAATATAGAAAATTGAGGATGCAACGCATTGGTTTGAATCGTGATGCATCGGGATATCGAATTGAATCAAATCGTTGACAGGATAATCGTACTCGAATCGAATCGTGAGACCAGTGAAGATGCACAGCCCTAATAAATATGCCCAAAAATACTTTAAAGAAAGAACCATTGAGAAAGAAATCTGGTATTTCATAAGCAATTCACATCCATAGTAGAATAGTAGAATTGGTGGATATATGCAGACCTTTTGTCCTCCAGGATGGGACTAGTGGGCTCCTCAGACACAGCTTCAGTGGGAGTCTCTTTTGAAGGTTCGCTGTTGTCTTGTTCCAGAAGCTCAGTGGCCTCAGGGGTGACTTTGGAGTGGTCGATGGGAGCGGTGTCTTTCCCTGCCTTCCACAGCTTGTAACGGTCGGGCTGAAATTTGCGTACGAACACGTCCATGGAGATCTTCACCATGTCCTGTCGGCACGAACACTGGGAGGAACACACATATCTACATTTGAGTCAAGGTTCAAAACATGGTACAAAACAATGCTTTGAAAACAGTTGAACTCACTATTGGGGTTGAAAGTGTTCTCTTAACACCCTGCTTAGATGAATACTAAATTCTGATTGCCCAAATTGGACATTCAATGGTCTGCTATTATAGCAGACCATCTCTAGGGATAGCAGAGCGCTGCTAAGGACATTCTGATCAAGGACTATTAAAAATAATATTGGTTACTTAGGCCCTTTACTTTTATTTTTTTATATTTGCAGAACTCACTTTGTTTGTGCAATGAAAACGTTTTTTTTTAAGGTTTCATTGTCATAGCAAGCTTATAATTAGTACTTATAGTATAGTAATATGTGTATTATATACATCCACTGTGAACACCTACCAATCACCTTAATAAATCAATAAACCACATTTTAAGTAAACCAAAGTGAATCCATGCTGTATTGCAACAGTGCATTTTATTGCTATAGACAAGCACACTGTTATTCAGGATAACGTGATTAACAAATCAATCCTCCAAATGCTTTCAAAGAAACAAACTACAGGTTGCCTGCAAGCAAAATGTTTCAACAAAATAATGTGACATAATGAACCTCAATCCCTATGCATCACAGGAGCTGAAGCCTTTGTGAGTGATTATGTAATAGATTATGATTCACTGCTGTTTACATTGTATTTATTTTTTGCTTACCAGTGTCGCCTGTTTGCCGTAATCAATCCATCGCTGGGTGGCAAAGTTGGTCGACTCAGCACAGTTGAAGCCATGGTTGAAACCAGCATGATAACCAAATGGGAACGTCACAATGAACTGCCCAGCCTCCTGAGTCACCTGAATAATAAAAATAACACAGAATTACAAGATCAGATTTTACATAATGTTTTCATGTCATTATCATCATACTTTAAATGCATGTTTGTTAAGCATTTTTCTGTTATACTGTATAGATATTGTAAAGGATTATGTACAGCACAAAGTAAATAAAAGATCACCTTCTCAAATGGTATGCCATATTTTTTCAGGATTGAGGGTGAAATTAATGTCATCTTGTGGCGCAGGAAGGCTTCACAGCTCTGGGCATTCCCTGGAAAGAAACCTGGAAATACAAGAGGCAACACACACAACATCAGTGAAGACGACCCTCTCTGGTTCTGTAGTTTATTTGAAGTATTTTATGTGAAACAAGGTACTTTCCACATGGTATAGAGGTTTACTGAAAGCAGATTAGACTTCCTCTTTGAAACAACTCAGCATGACACGCTGTGGCTTGTGGCACACAGTGGCTAAGGGTGAGTAACTATAGTGTAAATGATCCATTTGCACCACAAACTGCAGCACATAACATAACACATAACGAGTGTGGTTATACACATTATAATCCATGTATGGATTTATGTGAGAACGCAACACTTACCCTTGGCGAGTCGTTCCAGTCTCTTCCCATGCTCTGGTGGGACAATATACCTGCAAAGAAACAAAAGTACAAGTATATTTACTACGGCAATGACTTTGATATTAACAGCAGAATGTGGATGCCAATAACCTTGCAAAGTATCTAGCCTGCACTTTAGACAGTTTAGTTACAATCAGATATAATTTTATTAGTAGCAAGCTTAATTACTGGAATGAGAATGAGAACTCCCATGTCTTAATGTCACTTCATTGATGCCTTTCAACTTTAGAACAGATTTTAAGATGCTTAAAAGCTTTAAAAAATATCCTTTAACTTTGGGATTCTAATCACCAAAGGTTTGTGTAGCACTTTTGTAATGCAACTGTTTATGAAAGACACTACACAAATACATGTAAGCAGTGAGAAGAGAGCAGAGGGACATTGTGTGTGCAGCATTAAGGGTGTGTCAGTGACTGTACCAGGACTTTGGCTCTCCAAAGTGCAGGTAGTTGATGCTGTACAGATCCATGTCCTCTGTGTGCCACGCAAAGGCACTCTTCCACATCCCAAAATAGAGGTACGGTGTGTTCACTCCTTTGATCTTGATCCCACTCTCGTTCTCTACCGTGTCCAGAATGGTGTTGAGGTGGCCGATGTTCCACTCAGTCACATCCTGTAAAGGACAGATTAAGAGGCCGTTAATCGTAACGACAGTGACACTGATACTGTAAAAATGAAATGGCATTATCCAACTATTACCACTCACTGAATCATACAGTGTTCCGCTGACATCAGCACCGTAAAGGGGGGGGTTGAAGGTCAAGTTCTTCCAAAACTTCCTCTCCAGCTCCTCAACATCCACATATCGAGGATTGGAGAACCTACAATGAGAGGAGAGCTTGGTTGGTTATCTAAATACCATACTATGCCAGGTTTTCAACATTATAGTATAGTTATTGTGGTAAAAACATCACTCGATCGACTGTGTTTTATTATTACTACGTAAACTGACTTGTCCATGTTGGATGTCTTGCGGAACTCATGGACGGTCATTGGCTTCTTCTGGATGTTGTACTGTGTGAACAGTCCTGACTGGCCTGTCACTACCTGCTGAATGGGAGCAGGTATCACCAGGTCATCGATGTCATCATATGTTTTTCGAGGTTTCCAGCCTTTAGGTGGAATTACCTGCAAGATAAAAACAAGGTAAACGGAATGAAAACAGATAAGTGTACTCTGAGCAGCAGAGTGAGGATTCTGTCAATGTGCTAATGGAATTAGTGCTGTGGAAATATATATAATATAGACCAAGTTTGCATCATTACGGGCCGTCTCCACAGCAGCGTTAAAAAATCTTGAAACGCTTCTGCCCATTCACTTTGAATGGGGTGACGTCACTTTTCGCCGGAATGCATTGTGGGCAGGCGAGCGGAGATTCTCAAGATTTTCAAGATTCAAAGTTGAACAATGTTCAACTTTTGAAGCTGAGGTGGAAGCGTCAGCCAATCAAATCCCGTGTACGCAAATCTGGCAGTTCAAGCTCTAGCCAATCAAACGGCGTGTATGCTGGGAGAGACATACCGCAGATCATTTCCTCATATTCCAAAAAATGGAGGAGAAATTAGCGGTAGCGAATCAATCACCCGGTGCTTTATGACCAGACCTACCGGGATATAAACCGGAGGAGCCAGGCATGGAGGGAGGTGGCAGAGACAGTGGTATGTTTTCGCCTGTTTTGGGGAGTTTATATCCAGTTTACTTCGGGCTTTTTGGCTTCGTATGTCGCGGGCGGGAGATTCATGTGATTGGTTGATCGCAAAAAAATCCCCAAGCCTCAGATACGCCCACCTCCAAGATTTTTTTAACGCTGCTGTGGAGACGGTCCGTTACTTCTTAGCTTGTTTTCTGAGCAGATGCAGCGTCAGCCAAGTAAAGCAACAAAAATGAAGCGATGAAGAAACTGAGTTTTCTCTTTAAGTAATGAAAGAGACTCAATTCTTAATCCACTGCTACCCTATCCTACGTGGTTGATGAAAAGGAGCAATGTAGTTGCTTTCAGGAATAGCTCAGTACGTGGTGTCTGTGCCTGTGTGTGGTTCAGAGAGAAAGAGATATGATGATGCTCTCTGAGCAGACAGCTGTTGAGGATCCAAAGAGGTTGCTGACGATAACATATTATTGTATTTTGGCGATCAACTAGCAGAAATGTTCTCAAGAGGCAGTGTAGTGTTCAAAATGTCCTGACAATCTCACATCCAGTTTGTTTTTGTAAACATTGCAGGCCTTGCACAAATAGAACACAGTAATCAGGGTTACTCTTGTTTATCATGTACAAGGGGAATATACATCACCAGATATCCCTATGCTCATGTAAACATCAAATCCTGATAAAGATTATTTGTAACCAGAATTAGCTCCATAAACAGGGTATTAAAGGTGGGGTAGGTACGTTTGAGAAACCGGCTCGAGATACACTTTTTGTTATATTCCATGGAATGCTCTTAACATCCCGATAGCAATGAATATCATACAAACATGTCATCTGTGGAAGCCGTAGTACTGTAAAAAGCACGACCAATCATTTTAGCCGGCCCGGCTAAAATAACTGGATGGCCGACCTGCCTGTCAGCCTTCCATCTGTGCACAAACTTATCTCGTGCCCTCATTGGTCATGTGTGCGTCGTGTGTGTTGGAGGAGGGGCTCTGTAAGGAAGTGGCAGAATTTTTCCGGCTGTGTATTTTCAAATTCTAGCGCACTCGAGCTGGTTTCTCCAAAATTACCTACCCCACCTTTAATGTTGATGCAAAAGTATTCACAGATATTTGCTTACTTCTGCTGAAAGCATCAAGATATCTTAATTCAAAAGGTATCACAAACACTTTATACAGTCGCACTCATCAACTACTTTATCACATAATTATAACAAAAAATAAGGTATATGTTGGGAAGACAAATTACATATTTTTTCAATATCATTTAAATGAATACTGCAGTATTTGTATAGTATTGTAAATATTGTTATTCTTGATGCTAAGGTTATGTTTTTGTTATTATTTACAACAGGTGAAAGTGCTGTATTGCAGATTTCAGTGCATGTGTCCAGCAGAGTTCAACTGCTTTACGCCAGTGAAATGGTGGAAGTCTGCAAGTCAGGATCAAAGTAAGTTTTGTCCCATGTTAGTAAGTTATGTATTTGAGTTACTTTATGCAGTTTTGTAGTATTGAATAATCAAGTGGGTAGTGCACCACAGGAGATGCGTTCTGGATGGAAATAACCTACAGTAATAATACAATTTACTTTCAAAGAAGATCACTCCGGTGAGTACATTGGGTCTTCACAACAAGTCCGAACTAAGATAACCATACAGAGAAGCCTAGGAACTAAATACATTGAATAAAGAGCCACTATAACATTGTATCGATCATAATTACATACAAAAATACAATAGACTCTTCTTACTTTCGCAATTCCAGCTTTGTGTGCTCCTTGTGACTCCATATAGTCGATGTATCGGTTGAAGTCCTTGAACTCCTCTTTGGAGGGGGAGAACGTCATTATCCTGGAGCCCACACTTTGGGCAGGCTTGTCTGTAGTCATCTTAGGTATTTTACTCTGACCTCAACTCTGTACGGAGGAAAACATGGACATGATCACCATGAGGACATCTAGGTTACATGACTTAAAGTCACATGATTCACAGCATCTGGCTTCCTTTCATGCAGTTTATGTTCCATCACTTGAGAGTAACAGACCATCAGCTAATGGATAACATTTATTGACTCTTTGTTGGTAAAACTCCAAAGGTTATTGAAACAGTACCAGATATCATAATTACAGTTCCAAAGCTCCTTGTCAGATATGTGAAACTTCTATTATGTTAGTGAATGCAAAGAAATGATAACCTACAACTAAAAAACATGTAAATATAGGACGTTAACCAAGATAGATTAGACTACATACAAATAAACACAACTTCAACAATATTGCAGCATTCTTAAAACCTGAACCGATTAAGCAAGCAAACCCTAAATATGGTTTCAACCTTTATCCCAAATAGTTTTTTCCACTTCCTTTTTTTTCATTATCCTAGGTTCCCTCTTGGCCTCTATGCTACTAAACGCTGATCTCCAACTTAACCTACATCACAAGAGTATTTTCGTGGAGAGCGGACTAACTGAGAAGATGTTTAACTTACAGGCAAATATACTCTAAACTCTGTATTTACTGACTTTACTAGCAAAACCCAGAATACTTCGGGGTTACGCCCACTGAATCCGCCATGTAACTCTGATTGTGAACAACCATAATTGATTGCGATTCTCAGCCTGTGATTGGTTGAAACCCATGTCTGTCTCACACCGTGGCCCACTGACAGCGCTGTTCCTCCGAAAAATATATTGCTAACGTTACTGCACTAGCCTACATGCTAACTGCAAGATAGCTTGCTCTGCGTCTTAGGAATTAAAAGAGGGGTGAAACAAACACAAACCACTGCCATATTAGGAAATACACATTAGTATACAATGCTGGGTGTTATGTCAAATCACATAACCATTTATGGAAACAGAAGCAGCCGCAAAGTGTGTAGCGGACTGAGAGATCTGACAGCTGCCTTCGCTCTCCGTTAGCAAACTAGCAAACATGGCTTGTTGCTGACCGTCACTTTCCTGTGGCTAAACTTAAAGTTACTCATACTTTCCTACAAAGCAACTCATTTTAAAGTGTCAAACATTAACTTACACGTGCTGAAATGTACACGAGTTGTTTTTCTTAAAAAAGAAAGGTAGTAGAGTAGAAATACAGACAGCATAAGTCCGGGTGGAAAAGACAGTCCTCCATTATTCCAGTGACGCATGCTCAGTGTGTGATTGTTTACATGGAGCCCAGCGGGAGGGGCTTCCGTAGTCCCCAGCCAATCACAACGCCTCTCCTCCAAACCATGCCTGCACCATTGTCAGTCTGTCAGAAATTAAACAATTGACTCCTTAGTCAAATGATTTACGTATGAGCCCTATCATACTATAACACACTACAAGGTTGTGTCCTTGTACTGTGTCCACTTCACCCTAATTTGCTCCTGTGGGTATTGTCCACACACAGTAATAACTGTTACATGTATAATATGTGTAATGTGTATTTGTAAAGCACTTTGAGTGCTTTGAAAAGTGCTTTAATAAAAAAATGTAATGAATTATTATTATTATTATTATTATTATTATTAAGGAAAACATTATTCTACTGTGATAGTTATCTTTGTGAATACAGCTATCCAGGCCAGTTCTAAAAACCATAATACATGTTATATATCAAGCAATTTGTTTAAAAACTTAAAATATCGAAATTAATCATATGCGGAAGCATTGTTCTTTGAATTATTTCTCCCTAAGGTGGTCTAGTTTAAGTCAAGTCATCTTTTTACAGCCAAATACAATATCGTTTTTCTCGAAAATTATAATATTTACAACCGTACAGTTTAAATAGTTAAATAACTTAAATAGAGTATTTTTGGCAAGGTTTTACTACTTTCCTCATTTATATGATCTAAATATGTATTCTTGCAGATTTATATATACTTCTAAAGGATTTCTTGTAAAACTTAACTTACTCAATAAATAGTTGTTCTTGCAAACCTCAAACAAAGACAAATTAGAGAATTGATAAATGTAAACTCCTGATAATCAACGTTCACTAAGTCAAATGTCTTAATAAATGGGAAAAATGCAGAGGGCGCCACCTCACACCACATTATCACACAGCTAAGAAAGAAAGAAAGTCCAACACATTTGTATTATTAAAAAAACAGTTATTCAACTTTATTAACATCAAGGTTTTCAAGACATTTGTGTCTGCTTTTTATTACCAAATAGAAAACAGATCATGTATACAACAGATAGGATCCTAGCACGACTCAATAAATCCTTTATCACCCCCCCCCCCCCACCCACCCACCCCCAGCTCTGTCATCTCATCCAGTGAAAAACACTGAACATTACTTCTTCTTTCAGTCTGTCCGTCTGCAACACAGTGATACAAGTTGGGATGAAATATACCATTAATGGGGTTCCAGTGTATCTGCTTGTGTCCTGTTGGTTTGAGCCATGTATGTGAAGGTCATGAGATGAAAGGGAACATTTTGTCCTGTCTATAAGAATCATTTTGGGTCCATCAACCGGAACCAGATTGCATGTTAGAGCAAGTAAGACACATCCAGCTAATTTATGGCAATCAAAGGGTAGGGGAGAAAATGTGTTTTTTGTGATACTTCACAATCCCCTGATTTCCTATTTGATTTAATAATCCCCCCTAAACATCTATATTTACTCCCAGTCGACTGTTGAAGCTTTAATATTAGGCTGTGATCTGTGTTGGGTTTTAGATCAACAGTTTTGACATTTATTAATTTAGAGCCTTGTCAACAAATCCAATGCACAGACAACCCAACACCAACAATGAAGTGATCTTACTATGAAGAATTGTGTGAGTATCAGTGCCTGATGTATCCTCTTCCGGTGGGCTGTAGAGCTCCATTGCTTTCCAAAAACTAATAAAACACACCAATAAGTCACACTGACATGTTCCTTTTTTACCGTGAACACACACACTGTCCTGCTGCCACAAATACTCACTAGAGCACCACATGTGAATCTGCTGATGAAAAGACTCCCCCAAAACAGCATTAGTTCCGCCTGTTTTGACTGATCAGCTATAGAACAGTTAGAAACTAAACCATTTTGATTACATTTCAGCATTGAGTGTATTGGTGCCATAATGGATTTATCTCTTGTCTAAGCACGGGCTGGTTTAGAATGTGATGTGGTCACACTTGTATCACAAACGTTATCAAGAACAAAGTGTCTGTGTTCAGTCTACCTGAGTCTAGCCGTTTCTCAATGTCGAGTATACCTGCTGCAGAGCCACTATTTCAAGTATACTACGTCATCGAGTGGCGCCGAATGCTGGGCATTTAACATGCATTTAAACAGTCCTTCTGCGCCACTCGATGACGTAGTATACTTGAAATAGTGGCTCTGCAGCAGGTTTACTCAACATTGAGAAACGGCCTCTGTGTCAAGAGGGGCTATGGTGTCAACAACCTTTTCCAACAACGTTATATTTATTTTTGTTCCAAGTCTCCAGATTTGTATTGGCTTTGTGAAAATCAGTAAACAGTTATTTGATAATAGTCAGTTTATGGCAATAGTTATATTTCATACAGTAGCTCACAAACATGTCTGTTAATTTGACCTCTTTTGGTAGTAGTTCTGTCAAACCCCCGTAAATAAGATCAATGATAACATAAGAATATTATATATATGGTACAAAATAAAATGATTAGCAGCTGTGAGTATACGCTCTCCAATATTAATGTTGAAAATACATTTTATTTTTGCAAATAAAACGAATAAAAATATATCAGCAAATAAAAAAAAGACCCATTAAGACATATATAATAGCCAGTTTAAATGATTATAAAATAAATTCTAAATATTTATAATAACATAGTAATGATGAAAATAAATGAAAATAGCAGAACATTTGTTTTGCCATAAAGGAGGACGCAGATATTGGGGAATGTTGGGAGAAATCAGTCAGGAATGAGGCATGGCAAAGAGTCTCTCAGGGTAGCTTTGGGGAAGTTTTGGTGTTGGGTCTGTGGCAGAATCGTGGCACCGGTGCAGGAGGAGATTGTCCTGACTGTCCCCTCTCCTCTGTCCTCTAAGGTCTCCTGTTTCCTGCTGTGGTCACCTCCTCTCCAGTCCTCCTTGTAGCGTCCCCATCAGGCCTCAGGGACTGATGGAGCTGAGTAAATATATATGGCTCAGAGGAGAGGTATAACTCTTCTGACGGTGTCTTTCTGAGTGGGGTTATGTTGCATAGTGATCAAAGCTTCCCAGGTACTCCAGAGCAGCGCGGTAGCACAGTTGGTACTGGTCCTGGGGGAGGGAAAATAAGTTTGGGTCACTTGGTCAGTGGGAAACCTGCAGATGCCATGAGAAACAAGCCAGAACAAACAATTTGGGTGATCAATTTTCTAAGTCTGATCTAAATAGTTTTTCTCTCGTGTTACAACTTTAAGAGGCCAGATTATACTTGTTGGGGTTTCCCTTTCTTTTAGTGTGTTATGGTATATAGGTTTTTGTGCATGTACAGTAAATGGTCTGCAATGGCAAAATGGACCAAAGATTGAGTTTCTCAACCACCTATTCCCCATTTACCTGAAACGCCATGATTGAATCCTTTGCTAACTTCCCTAACATAGTGGCATCACTATGAAACACTCTTAACACGCTTCTAATGGCTAGTACTCCAACACATTGTGATAGGCTAAGGGGTGGGACATCTCTAATCCGACTGGGCTCTCGTTTCAGACAGAGGATAACAAAGAAACGTTAAACGTCAAACAGGTAAAGGAATAATACATTTTCCAGGACAATTTTAAGAGTTAATTTATTTAAATTATACAAAGAAATACTTGTTTTTTGTTTGTTAGTCATTTTGTGTTTGCAGTTTGATGGTGTGATAATAATTTTAGCCACAAGAGATTTATGTCCACAACTAAATTCTAAAAAGGACAAATAGCATTCACATTTTCTACCGGGAGAGTTCAAGTCATCCATGAACTCTTGATATATATATATTGTGTGTTAGCAAGATATGAAAACACAACCTAGAAATGGATCCCCAGAATTAGCAATACTATACAACCTTTTTACTGAATAATAAATACGATGTATACCTCTGTCTGCACCATGGCCGGCCTCTGTGTTCGGAGCGTCTTGACGGTCTGGAAGAGGTCGACCGCTCCTTCGTACCTCATCCTCTCCAGGATGATGCTCAGAGTGATGAACACACCAGTTCGCCCAACACCAGCACTGGTGGACAGGCACATCATCAGACCCTCATTTTATTACACATTATGTGTTGAGACAACAATAAATACAAAAACAAGATGACTTTGTCAAGTGATTGATTTAGAAAAATATCTCAATAAATAATCCGCATTAACAGCATCACTTATGTCAAGAGGGGGAAGATGTTTCTTTATTTGATTGTTTTTGCTCTTGTTGCATGTTTCTTCCTTTCTGGGCCACCGTACATTTCTGCATGTATCTAGGCACTTGTTCACATGTTCTTCAAGTGGTAATTCATAACAAAGAACAGAAAAAAGCCTTTTGTGCATTTGTAAAACTAACAGGATACAAATATAAGTTGATTGTCAGCGGCCCTAGAAAAGCCAATACATGTAATTAGATTTTAGAATGAGAGGTTACCTGCAGTGCACAGTAATTGGTCCATCTTGTCCAAATTGCTCTTTTGTTTTATGGACTTGGCCGATGAAGTCGATAAAGCCCTCCCCAGTTTTTGGCACTCCTTGCTCTGGCCAGTCAGTGAACTGGAACTGCCTGATAGTCCTGGACTGACCGTCCTGAGGAACACACAGGAGGACATGGAGACAGACTATGTCAGTAACTCACAGTCTACATCCTCCTCCAGGGGACACCTCTGCTGCGTATACAACAGCTACAATTTCCATATCTGTCTTCTTAAAGGTCACCTATTATGCAAAATCCACTTTTTCATGTCTTTTATACAGAAACATGTGTCCCCTCTGTGGAAAGAGATTCTGGAAGTTTCAGGAAAAAAGATTCGCTCACTTTTTGTCCTGATCCATTTATATAAAAACCTGTCTGAAAATGAGCTGATCAGATGTTGGCCACTTTATGATGTCATAACGAGTTTTTTGGCTTGTGTAACCATTAGCCAATCACCAACCAAGGTAACCCCACCCACCTTATCAACTGAATCTCCTCCTAGAGCTATTTTTTTAATCAAATATCTTACAGA